ACACAAGCTAATCATGTGCTTTAACAATCATCTTGTATTTTGAATTTTCATATAATGGTTCATTGGTGGGTACAGTAAATGGAACACTGAGTATCAGTCAGTGGAGCCACAAACATTTCAGCCTGTAGATATGCGTTTTTTCCTCTTCCAAATCTTCTACTCGTCCATTTGACAAATACCATATAGGGAGTGCTATTTAACCAGCTTTAACTTGCAAGCTCCGTTGCAGCTCACCTCCACCTCACCTTCTACTTAACACTCTTTTTTGTTTGTTTGTTTGTTTGTTTGTTTTAGTTAATAGGTAAAGGGGGCGATGTGGCTGATTATTTTTCTTGGTCTTTCTAGGTTGAAGTGGAGCAATATTTTTGTTGTCACCAAATACATATTCCACATAAAGATGACAACTTACAGTAACGCCTATTTGATGTCACTATTCAATTTTTCTGCAGAGACCATGAATTGCATTCAGTGATTTATTGCTTTTTGTAGTGTACGTGTTGTAAACAGGGATTTCTGTAATATTTTGCATGAAAGCTCCAGTTTGGTTAAGATTAGAGAGAGATTATCCTAGGAAGAGTAGGAAATGATACAGGTGGAGTGCATGGTCAGGGCATAATGGAGTTTTTTTTTCTCTGTTAGCCTGACAATAGACAAGACCCAAACTTGTGGCAAAAACAAGTACAACAACACAGAGAGCCTCATTCTGACACTGTTGTGTCTCCCTTCCCAATTTAATGGCAAATGCAAGAGGCGATTCAACATAATTCAAAGGATAAAACATGTACACATTCCTTTATGTGTCTGATGAGAGAGAGGGGGGGGGGATCGTAGAAACTAGCTGGCTGGGGTTCACCGAAAGATTTGTGGCCGGGGACGCCTGTAACCTGGTGACATGGTTGTGAAGGTACCAGCTTGGTTGCAGATCTGAAAAAGAAGAGCACAGCTTGTGGGCTTTTATTTTGTAGGAACTGAGGGGAAACAGCGTCGTATGTTGGTTGACTTGCAGGGGGTGGACAGAGCAGCAAACCGTTTGAAATCCCCTCTAGCGGAGCAGAGGGCGAGAGGGTCTATTCCTGCAGTCCAGCTCAAACATGGCGGGCTGTGGAGGAGACGTGATGTGCTCGTGGTCCGGACCTAAGACCCACGGCACATCCTCAACCCCGGCGTCCGAAGAGGGGGAGCTGAGGAAGAGAAGGAGAGCTTTCTGCCTGACCAGGATGAAGTCCCGTAACAGCTCCGAGAAGCATCAGCTTCAGCATCATCATGAGCCCGCCGCGAACAACAACAACAACACGCCGTTCATGATCCACTGCAAGGAGATCAAACACATCTGCAGCAACTGCCGAGGAGCCGAGCCGCTGGACGGTGAGACGCTTCAGGTTGCTTTGAGAGCAGGAGGAGGAGTACTCCTGCTTTTTAAATGATTGTGCTCATCGCTCCCTGCCTGCTGGTGGGGGTCGGGGTCAGCGCTCAGATCAGATCCCTGTATTGAATCTGTTTTACTTTACAGTGAGGTTAACAATAGCTGATGCTGTTTGAAAGCCTCTGCTGAGTCTTCTTCGCTGTCACGGGGCTGTGGTGTGGCTGGAGCTTCACTGTAAGCGCATGATTTCAAGTCCAGTTTTTGTTTTGCTTCCCTGTTTGCATCGTGAAAGCAGAAGTTCAGGGCATTCCACGCACGGATCGCTATAGTTTCAGTTAATATAGAGAGCTGGGAAATTTTCTGGTTTTGTCTTACTGGATTCCACAAACCAAACATCATCGTATGGTTTAGTCTTTTCCCTTATTAACTGCTATAACTATCACTTCAAGTTCAGACTGTCGGTGGATTATTATCTGCACTGATGCTGATGAATTTTCTGTCAATACAGAAATCAATTTATGGAGCCATCACTGCAGCAGTTCATCTCAAACACACACAACGTCAATAGTTGCTCTGGCTTAAATAACAGAGATCAATAGCTAATCATAGAATCTGTTCATTTAATCAGCTTGTGGTTTTATTTGAAAACCTTAGCGTGTGGATCAGTGGAGGCTTTGTTCTTTAATAAAACTCAGCCACTTGATTTAAATTGCTTAATCAGCCACCGGGGATTTAGTGAGCAGCCCTTTCAAAACCTGGTTTTACTGGCACGATTTGTTTGAGAAGAGATAACCAGAACTCGTTTGGAGTTTTCTTGAAAGAGGATCTTCAACAGATGATCAAAAACGTCATTTTTCAGTAAACTCAGTAATGAAGAAACTGGTTTGCAGTGACAGTAACATTTCCTCTTCATTTATTGTTTACTTGAAGATGTTTCAGACTGTTGGCGTTCTTGTTTTTCCTCCACAAATCAACACAAGTCAAGTCAATTGATGCAACAGCTGGTGCCAGCATAGACTGTATAAAAAGATGACAGTGGCTACTGCTGGTCAGTGAATTTCATGCCTTGTGATTAACAAGCCGTTAGTTTCAAAAACATTTGCTCATTGGCTAAGTTAGTGATGGTGAAAATGTTAATGCCATCCACTGTCAAGAAACCAGTGGATGGCATCACAACAGCTACTCACATCTTTTATATGGTCTGCGGGACTGACACTCTTTTGGAGACAGCCTCAAGTGGCCATCAGAGGAACTGCAGTTTGGGGGGGTGGCGAGTCTTATTTTGCTTGATGCCCAGTAGCAAGGCCATTTAAAAAAAAAAGAGAGAGAAACAAAAACTAAAACTATGAATCAGCTAAGAAATTCAGTCGTAACACAGGCCTTCCAGCATCGTTGTTTTGGCTGAACCAAGTTGTTTTCGAGCTTGTTGTTCAGTGAGTCAGTGTTTTGAGGCATCAGTGAGATAACAGACCCCAGGTCAGACTGAAAGAATGTCTCCCTGCAGTGTGAGTCTGAGCCCTCTGACTCACTGCTGCTCTCGCTCCACTGCTTGTGGCGAGGGGGGGTTGGACTACACCAGGAGGGAGAAGACACCTTTTGTGTAAGGAGACAAAAGATGAGACAAACACAGTATGTCATCACCTCAAAATCTGCATAGTTTTGGGTTTTTTTTGCAGTCGAATGATGTCACTGTTGTCCTGGAAACACTAATTTTACTGCTTTAGGTGCTGGAGACGCTTCATTGAGAGAGCCTTTGTGCAAGGGAGGTTTCCGTGAGCTCTGACGTTCACACAGGGATGCTACACAGACTCAGAGTGTCTACTGAGGGGTTAGGGAGGGGAGGATGAGGGGGGGCTGACTGGATGTTGTTGAAGGAACTCTCAATGGCAGGTACAGTGTTGGTGCAGATTTGAACTGACATCTCTCTTCCAACAAGGCCTCCCGAAGGATGTCATCGCCTCCCGTCTGCAGCTGCCTACCAGTTTACACATGGCTGGTTTGTCCATCAACTGCTGATAATGTTTCAAATAGAGGAGAAATCACTGGCAAAAACACAGCTTCAAAGATTTTGACTTAAAGGTAGACTGATGGTCAAGTAGTACTGTATTTTTGTAATAGAACTGAAGGCAGTGATAATATACAACAGTCTTTTATCCATCCATCATCCATTGTCTCCTGCTTATCGGGGTCCACATCACAGGGACAGCAATCTAAACACACATGTCCAAACATCTCTCTCCTTAGCCACCTCATTCTGGGGAGCAGTCAGGCTTTCCCAGGCCAGCTGACAGATGTAATCTCTCCTCAGTCTGCCTCCATTTGGCCATGCCTGAAACACCTCACCTAGGAGGCGTCCAGAACCTCCACATCTGTCTGCTTTTGATGTGGAAAACAAGCATCTTTGACTCTGAGCCGCACATGATTTTGCAAAACATTCCTATGTTTTACTGCCAGATTTTCCCTGTCATTCCTCAATTACTTGTACAACATTCCCAGTTGAATTAAGTTTACTTCACCCAAATTCGAAACATTCCATGTGTTTGGATTCATTTCCATCTTTCCATTCATCTGTCTGACAAGTATCTGTTTGCACTGCATGCTTCTGTCGGCCAGTGTTTGTGTGCAGGTTTACATCCTCTGCTGCCTGCTGAAATGTTGCCTTCCTTCCCCCCCTTTATTGCTGCTGGCTCTGCCCTTGTTTTGTAGAGGATGTTGTGTGTGTGTGTGTGTGTGTGTGTGTGTGTGTGTGTGTGTGTGTGTGTGTGTGTGTGTGTGTGTGTGTGTGTGTGTGTGTGTGTGTGTAATGGGAAAGGTGTAATTTCAAATGGAAAATCGGAGCATGCTGTATAGAGTGGCCTCCAGCATGATTACTTTGAGGAAAGTCCCTGTGGGGTGGGGGGAATTGTAGCTCAGAGGAAGAGGGTTAATGGAAAACATGGGAAAGGGAAGGCTCACAGTTGAAGAGGTTATAATTCTATCAGATTCTCACCACTGAACCCCCCCCCCTTTGGTCTGTGTTGTAGCTGGCTAACTCCTCTCTGTCCAAGTTTTTCTCTCCTCCTTCTTACATAAGGTTTCTGCTGCTGTGGCCACCTGACACATTAGCTGTGATTGAAAGCGATCCAAATAAGCTTTACCTGACTTGATTATGCAAAACCCCCCTGGCAGAAAATGTCCTCTGACATTTGAAGCAGAGAGCAGCGATCATCTGTTCTACTTAACTGTGGGTTAAAAGGGTCCCATTATCAGTTAATAAGCTATAGAATAATAGCTCATTTACTTTGTGCCCACCTGGCTGAGGCTTTAATAAAATGGTCATTAATCAGATCATTATCCAGAAGGATTTCTTGAAAAAACAATTTTTGGGTCATTACCCGAAGGTCTTCCTTTTATGGCGATGTTTATCTGAGAAAAGGCATCAGGTTTTCAAATTTGTGCTACACTCTTCCTAAAAAAGAACTCAGACTATATCAGTCACCCAGATGCCAACTGTCAGTCGTCATAACGCCAAATATCCGAACAAATACGTTGTTGTGCTAAGCGTTGGAATAAAAAGCGCAAAATTAAGTGAGTCAAAACCACAAAAACAATGTTTTTATGCATTTTGTTTATCTGCTTGTTAATGTTGTCTTTTCAGCTGAGGAAGTGGAGAGGTTGGCAGCGATGCGCTCTGATTCGCTGGTACCGGGTACGCACACGCCCCCCATCCGGCGGCGGAGCAAATTCGCCACCCTGGGTCGTCTGTTCAAACCCTGGAAGTGGAGGAAGAAGAAGAGTGAGAAGTTTAAGCAGACGTCTGCAGGTGAGAACCAAAACTCTGTAAACAGCACATCTGCAGGTCGGCAGCCAGCTCTGCGCCTTTCTGTCCTCTCTGCCTCACTCCCATCTCTGACACCTAGCAACAGCCTTGAGAGACGCTGTCCTTTAAAATGTTAGCATCAAAAGTCTACTGTGCATGGTTGTGTCTGGCTATGCACAGGGAGATTTCATGAGTCCAGTCATTATAGTCTGATACGTCATATAAGCAAAGAATGGCTGTATGTAGATATTAAGCAGGAACAAGTAATATCAACCTTCATTTGTCCACTGAATTCAATTTTGGAAGTATACATAATGCGAATGCAAAGGTTTGTAGCTGGATTGGAATCCTGGACATTTCCATTAGACCATGAATGCAGCATCTTTATTTAGCTCTAAAATCCAAGTGAAGAATAATTAATTTTCAAATTGATACCATAGGTGCATCCACTAAAACTCTGGAGTTTGAAGTTCAGTGACCTTGACCTCAAGTCAGAGGTCAAGTTTATTGAAAATCTTGTGAATGTGATAACTCACGAAGGAAGTCACCTAGGATGTTCAAACTTATAGCTTTGACCTGTGACGTGGATGGGCTGACCTGTGTGACAGCCCATCCATGTCAAGAAAAGTGCAAAACTCCATTTGCTGTTAGATCCTCATTAGTGGCATCGCTGTCAGTCATTAATGAGGCTGCTCTCTCACATGTGTATCCACTCAATAGAGGATCCTGCTGCTTTCTGATTCTGCAGGTATGTAATAAACTCAGAAGAAAGACTTCTGCTAACAGCTGGAAGCAAGAAGGTAAACGTCACCTCCCACTTGTTTAGTCAAATTCGTGAGCTGTTACAGGCTCCGTCTTCATCATAAAGACTTTTCTACAGATAAAGAATAGTCAGCACAGCGGAAACATAGTAACTGATTTGTATTCTTTCAGTTTTGGTGCCCTTGTATATTTGGGATCCAGCCTCATAAATCAGAATGACTGAATTTGTGCTTTTTCTCAGGTGGTGTGATGAAATGCATAAATGCAATAAACATTGGGATCAGCCAAACTGCTATTCCAGACATCAGTGTATTCGTGTTCTTACACAATGAACTTATACTTGACTTTTTTTAAATGCTGTTGCTGAAAGCTGTTAATTCCACTGCTGTTCAGAGATGCCAACACAGCAGCTGTGGAAGAATTGATCATTAATGTTGGCCGTAGCAACAAGTGAGCTTCAAATGGAGTTCGCCAGCCGACGTGTTGTCTCTTTAACAGTGAATTAACACTTCATTCAAAGCAGTGAGCAAATTTGAAAGTAGTTTCATATGTCTGGCTCGGGGCTACAATATTCAGCGAGTACTAAGCTGTGAAGCGAAGGAAAGTGTTGGATTTGGATGCCGAAATAGCCGCTGTTGTTGTTGTTTCTCAGCTGGCTGAATCATTTTACATCCTGCTCTCACTGAGCGACGCAAACACGCAGCAGAGGGGTGAAGAGAGGCTTCCTGCAGCCAAGCTGTTCCCCCAGCTGTCATAGCAGTTACACTTTTTTTTTACCCTGCTGAAAACCTTCCTGCCTTCTCTGCACCCAGATAATGAACAGTATACGTTTTATAGCATGTGTACGTGCGCACAGGTGCTACACGTTGCGTGTACCGTGTGCTTTTGCTGCACCCTGCTGTCATGCAGTCAAGGTGCATTGGATTATCCAGATTTTCGTGCTTCAAGTAAAAATATAGCTGTGGGGTTGAATAGGGTTTACTGTAGGAAACACAGACAGTTATGACTACAATACATTGACACTGGGGCAACATATACGGAACCAGTTTTACATTGTATCCCTGGGCACTTTTTCTCCACTTTCTTTAGCTGAATCTATGAAACATATCAAAGATCACACAAAGTTTGACAGACATAAAATAGTATTATTGCATCAACAAGGTGATTCTCAAAGAAACATTGGAATGGAGAGCATTTGTTTTACAACAGCTTCATTTTCAGCATGACAGCGAACCCAAACACACTGCCAATCCAGTAAAAGCATACCTGTATGGAACTGTCAGTCATGGATTGGTCTCCCCACAGCCTGGACTCAAACAACGTGGGAACAGAAACGGAACAGAAGGGGGGGCAACATCCAAAGAAGAGCTTTGAATGTCCTTTAAAAAGCCTGAAGAACTATTTTTGAAGACTTCTCGAGGCTTTTTCCCATAAAGACAACATTAGACCAGCGCCTCTGTACCCTTAACAATGAGTGTTGACACCTCAGTGTATACATAAATAAAGATGTGGTTTGACGACCATTAGAATTGTTTTGGGGGGGTTTTCATGGTTAGCTGAATAGGCAGAGACCACGCTCGCTAACTTCTAATGAAAACCCAGTGATTTTGTGATATACAGCCTGAAATATGACAGAAACCACTCAGAAAAGAGCTTCAAGAGTTACTCCTAGAAGAGAAGTCACTAGAAAGCTGCCCTAAGAGAGTTCAGCTCTTGTTGAAGAATAAAGGTGGTTTTACCAAATACTGACATTCAAGGTCGTTACAATTTTACAAACTCAGTTTTTGCCTTAAATACTGTATTTTCATGTGTGTTTGTGCACGTTTTAATAAATTGTTGCTTCTCTTTTCCACGGGGTAGTTCAAGACTTTTGCTCCATAAAGGCTATATAAGACAAAATGCATCAGTTAGACAATAATCCTGCATTACTATGTGTGTGGGTGATGTGTAGATATCAGTTTACCAAACTGAGCTGTTAGAAAGCAACACAGAAAAACGCATTACAAACGCCATTAAATGACTTCATTAGATATAGTGTATGTCAGGGTTTAAAAAAAAAAAAAAAAGACTTGTAGTATTGTAATATTGCTTTTATTAACTCCCCCACCCTAACACTTTACTGATATTGTCTCAAACCCTACCAATCAAAATGGCATTGGAAAAGATACGTTTTCACAGCTCATGCTGGATATGCTAGAAAATGAAAAAGTGTTATTTACGGGAAATGTTTAGGAGTGAGGAGGCGAGTAGGCATCTCTGTCAGAGGATCAGTGAACTGGTAGTGTTATGTTTGTGCGCACAGCTCAGAGGGTCAGTCACATGATATTTCCTTGGCACACAGCAGCAGTGCTGGAAGCAGCAGCAAGTCCAAAGAAACAGCTGCTGCAGCTGACTCGTTCCTCGATCCTGATAACTCTGTTAGCATCCAGCGCAGCAGCTTTCTTCCTGTTCTAGTCGTTTCTGACGTCTCCTCCTCTGTGCTCCCTCAGTGTTGGAGAGGAAGATGTCCACTCGCCAGAGCAGAGAGGAGCTCATCAAGAAGGGACTCCTAAAGGAGGTCTATGAGAAAGGTGAGGCTCCACACAGCGAAGGTGAGAAAGAAAGTGGCCAGTGTTGTAGTATTAGTTGTTCTCTTTGTTTGCGGCCTGATTTTGATTTTAGATTCAAATTCAAATGTAAAGTAAGATTTTTCCGGTTGCAGCTTCTCAGTTGTGATTCATGCCTTTTCTCTTGCACTTTGATTGGTTTGAGTCTCTCACATTGTTCTGTCATCAGTGGGGTGGTGCTGTTTAAGTGCTGCAGCGCACCAAAGACTCACGCAAGCTTGTGCACAGTTGTAACTCATTTTTTAAGTGTCAGTAAATCCAGTGACAAGTTTACTTACAGCACACCAGTCAGCTTTATCATGACAAGACTGAGCTTAGGAATATGTGTGCCTGTCTGATCCTTACCACCATTCCCTCACATCCAGCTGCTCTACCTGGGTGTTTCTCCCTATCTATCTTTGAAAACTACACTGTTACGTGATTCATATTTTCTCTAAGCAAAATTTGAAAAAAATGCTACATAAGGAGATCCTTTGCTCTGTTTTTTCATTTTTTACCTACTTTTGAACACCAATGTGCATCTTTCTGTGCAGATGGTGCATCTCTGACCATCCAGGAGGAGGTGAAGATAGAGAATGGTCGTTCCTCGGTGCTTGGCTCCAGCCTGTCGGAGTCTGAAGGTAGTGAGCTGATGGAGGGAGCAGCAGGAGCAGCTGTAGGTAGGCAGCACAGCCTCAGAACCACTGAAACCTCTTTAGGTATTTGATTCACAGTGGTCTCTGACTCCTTTGTTGTTTCCCCCAGGCTCCCTGGAGTTTCAAATGCCTAGTGATGCTCAACAGGACCACACCCAGAAATCCAGTCAGGCTCCGCCCACAAAGAAGTCTATCGTATATCAGGCTGATGGTGCTGAATCAACCCTCTGCAGACCTCCAACGCTACACAAACAACCTCCCGCTCTGCCACCCAAGCCTTTCAACAGGCTACCCAATCACATTACAGGTGAGTGTGTCTCCATGCGTGCTCACAACCGCATTAGTGCGCGTGTGCCTAATCCTCCCACGTCCACCTCCTCGTGCAGACGGCGCCCCCGTGAAGTTGCCATGCATGTCGGCTAAGTTGTCTCCTCCTCTACCTCCGAAGAAGCTCATGATCTCCGTACCTGCAGGGAGCATGGAGCCCTCTTCTATCGCCTTCCAGAAGTGCCCCGCCCCTCCCAGCCATGCTCCAATGGGTGCACACTCACTGCAGTACGGGACCCTGCCTGTTCCTCTCCACCCGCCCAGCCGAATCATAGAGGAGCTGAACAAAACCCTGGCCCTCACCATGCAGAGGTTTGAGAGGTGAGGATCACACCGCAGAGGCCAGAAAGTCAAGAAAATATCAGCGAAAAGTCAAAAGGCTCATTAAATTGATCGTTTAGAACGAGCCTGTAACATAAAGAAGCTGGGACAATCATATTTTGGACTAAACAAAAAATTACAAAAATGATTAAAAAAAATATTGTTTGATTATATAGTAGTTTTACAAAACTGAGAAAGACCAATTGATTAATCAACCAGTCCCCTCTGTACTAAATCCAGCCCTGGGCAACTTTGCTAAGCACCAACCCCCGTGCCACAAAAAGTAGGGAAGAGTGTCGGCCCCCTTATTCCCAAAGCAGATGGCTCTGTATGTTGACTTGGCACCAAGTTGAAAGCTCGGATGCTACTCTGTTCTGAACATGGACAGCTGTCATTCCTTATATACTTCTTTAAAGTCCGCTGCCCAGGCACACAGGTAGTGTGTTGTAATGTAAAAACAGACAGGCAAGCTGATGTCCACATGGACCCTCGCTCACTGTCTGATGAAGAAATTTACATCACAGGGATCCAAGCAGATCCAACTGACCCAGAAGCCAGATGACCTCCCATTTATCCAGGCTAGGTTGTGATACTCTGAGACGTGTAAGGTGAATGTTTTAAGAGCTCCTACAGTGACTATGATGATCTTTTGCTATAGAATCACGATCTGAGTTGGAATCCTTCACACCAACTCACAAAAGTCATCCACGGAAAGCACAACATCATTTTAAGATTCACAAATGTGTAATTTATAGGGAAATATTCCTATTTTTTTGACAGTTGTCTAGGAAGAATATGGCTGCGCAGCACATACACAACCATAGGTGGTGTGTTTTTTGTTTTTTTTTAGGAAGGCAGAGCTATCCGTTTTACAAAAACAAATTGAAACATCTGTTTGGCTTTCAAGGGTCTTTCTGGATTTGGATGGAGTGTCTGACTCCAGAATAGTGTGTATGATCTGCTCCCACCTGAATGGGCATTTTAAGGATTCACATTCAGAAAAGATTAGATTGAGTTCTGGTCTTTCCATAGTTGCCTGTAGTCCACAGTGAAAAATTGTTTTTCTTCAAAGTAGGTGTAGCTCTTTACATGACGGAGTTTCTACACAGCTGGGTCGGTGCTATGATTTTACTTTATTTAATTCATAAGGTTAGTTAGTAGAGTTTCCAACCGTCCTGTAAAAAACGGAATCGTCCCGTATTCAGAGAAAATATTACGCGTTTCGTATTGAGCTGAAAAGGAACACAGTTTGTCCCGTACTTCAGCTAGGATGAAAAAGACACAAAGCTGGAGTTATCCTGCGCCTTTACGCTATCAGCTGACTCTTCTTCTCTCATTCAATCCTGAAACTGATCAATGATCAGCTGACGCAAGTCCCGTCTCTCCTTTGTTTATCGCCCACTTTGCGCCAGAAAGAGGAAACCAGCGGATGTCGCGCTAAACAACAGCGCGTTTAAGCTTGATCAGCTGTTGTTAGAATGTATTTAATATTAATTTCTAGTATCAGCTGATTTTTGCTGGAGCCACAGCTGTAAAGCTGCTGGTCATGATATGGTTTGGTTATGTGATGAGAGGGAAACCAGGAGATGTCCTTACTGAATCATCAGAGCTGAACAGGTGATGGAGAAACAGGTTTACCTTTTAGGTGACATGAATGAGTTGAAGGGAAGCTATGAACTGTTTCTGAGAGACAAATAACACCAGGATCCTTTTTCTACATAGCTGACAGCTGGTAACTGTGCAGGGGCGGGTCTAGCAAAGTTTTGCCAGGGGGGCCAGGTAGGACATTAACAGGGAAAGGGGGCACAAAGACATACTTTTCTTTCTTATTCTCATTTAAAATGTCTCGCTTTTAAAAAATAATTATCTGAATCTTACAACCAAAGTTTTTATCTGATGTACAACGTATAGAAATCATACACATACCAACAAGACAGTGAACATCACTGTCACAACAGCGTTTGTTTTCATTCAAAGGCTTTATGGCTTTTCTTATAATACCTGGTGGGCCGGTCTGTAGTCAAAATGCCCGGGCCGATTTTTTTGTCCCAGTCCAGCCCTGGGCACGACACGCAGTGAATTAATCTGAGAGGGTGCATTAAAAAATAAATGGCCGGGCCAGCGGTGCACATCGCAAATTAGCTCGCATAGACACATTAGTTGTACCACTTCTTAATGACGGCATCTTAGCTAACAACCCCGACTACCAGATTCAACTTGTAATTGGCTAAAAATCACTTAGCCTACTGGTGAGAGGGACGTTGCTAGCTGTCAGTTTTTTCAAGCGATGTTGAAATTTGAGCTCTCCGCTCAGCGCAGCAACTGTTAATATAGATCGTTATTCAATTTATTGCTAATGCAATTATATGGCACATTGACTTCTGAGGAAACTTTAGATGGCACTCGTCATCAAAAAGGTTGCCTACCCCTGGTCTAGAGGAATACATACAAAACAATAGAGAGGCACACATTGGAGAGCAAAGTGCTTGGAGGTAGTGCAAAGAAAAGACTTGTCTTTGCACTGTCTGTTTAAGTATCACTATTTAGTCTGTCTATTCACAGTCTGAATTAGAGTCGGTGTGTGAGTGGACTGAGTGATCAGGGTTACTCAGACCATGGCTCAGATCGGTGAGGTGGGTGGGCAGGGGTGGGGTGTCGGGGGAGAATGTTTTTTAACAGGTGCCTCAGGTCAAACAGGTGTGTGACCTGATTGACCTGAGGCACTGACCAGAGGGCAACTGGTCAAACAGGTGGTGAGCAGGGTCCACGGGGTCACCTGTGATCCCATCCCAAGAGACCATCACCCGATCTTCCAGGGGCAGGAGGGAAGGATCGGACGATGGGGGAGCGACAGGGCAGCCAATAATGTTTTTGGGCAGTGTTAATTAACCTCTGCGCAGCCTTTCTGTTCTCAGTAGTGGCTCCTGCGTTCCAAAAATCCAGAGCGCGCCCTCCACTCAGGAGTGGAGGAAGACCAGCATCAGCCTCAGGTTATTCTTTCTCAGATTCCACCCATTCTCCTTTTATAATAAGAGGGGAGTGGACCGGTCTGTGCTTCCTGAAGCCCATTAGGAGTTCTTTTGTTTTAAGGATGTTCAGCTTCAGGTTCTTTTCTGAGCACCAGTGGACAGGTTTTCTACCTCCACCCTGTACGCCGTCTCATCTATATCAGAGATGAGCCCAACCATCGTGCAGGTTCCAATAGGGGATCTGAAGGTGGTCCAGTTTGGGGATGAAGATGTCTGTCATTATGGTGTTGAATGCTGAGCTGTAGTGCATCTTTGCGTAGCTCTTCCTGTTCTCCAGATGGCTCAGCGCTCTGTGAAGGGTGATGGTGATGACATCCTATGTGGATTTGCTCTGTAAGCAAACTGGTGGGGGTCAAAGCAGGGGGTAGCAGTCTCTGATGTGCTGAGACACTATCTGCTCTAAGTACTTCAGGACTACAGAGGGCTACAGGTCTGTAGTCATTGAGGCTGTCTATGCCATAATGGTAGAGGCCTTCAGACATAACCATAACCCTCACTTCACACAGCAGTGAACGTGTATGTGTGAATATGTTTGTGTGACACGTTTTCCATTTCATTCTGAAACTGCAGCTCCATGATGCACGCCGTTCCCACGGTGATGATCGAGTGCGACGATGACAAAGAGAACCTCCCTAACGAGGCAGACTACGAGGACCTGCCGGGCATGTACAAGGATGAGGAAGAGGAGGAAGAGGAAGACGAGGAGGAAGATGAGGAGGAGGAGGAAGACGAAGAAGAGGATGAGGATGATACACTGTTTACAAGTAAGCATCTTTTTGTCTTTATTAAAATTTGGCTTACACCCACCATGGTCTTCAAGGTTACATTGAAACCCTGAAAAACAATAAAGAGGACAGAGACGTGTACATTAATGAGAATTACAAAAATATTTACTGCAGAAGAAGATCTATACTGTGTGCCTCTTACTGGGAGGCTGCGACAGCCTCAATCTGCTTAACTTTGATACGATTTCCTCTGCCAATATGTTCAATAAAGGCACACTGGCCATGAAGGTCTTACGAAAAGACTCTCTGGCCATCAAGCTGAGCAACCGTCCATCCAAAAGAGAGCTGGAGGAGAAGAACATCCTGCCACTGCATTCAGACCAGGAGCGGCTCGAATCCCGGCAACAGACGGCCACCAAACTGACGAGGTGAGCTTCCGACTTAAGAGCACACATGCTGATGTGGCACCGAGCCACTCGGAGGAGCGGTACACTTGAGGTCACATCTAGTCCTATTTTAAAGTGCCAAACTTTTAATGAGGTTTCTAATAAAAATGCCCACTGCTCAAGAGTTGTCCATCATATCACATCACACGTGACACAACCACCGTTTTTTGGGAAATGCGAGTATTCCCTGAGTCGTTAGTAGTGCTTCCTGTTTCTTCCGGTTGCAAAAACCTGTGAGAAAACTGAGTGATTACTTTGGTAGCTAGGAAATATCCAGGGTTGCCTGTAGTTCTTCTTGTTTTTTACCCTGTCCTGTACAACAGCTTTAGCTAGCAGAATCAGGTTGTGCCAAACACTTTGCTTTGCCAAGAGGAGCCCTGTAAATTTTTTAGAACGCTTTAGCTTGTCGCTGAAAACAATCCTATGTTACCAGTTTTCATTTCCAGTGTGTGTTTTCTCAGCTCCACTGCGGCTCAAAGAGCAGCTTGTCAGTCTTTATAGACAAGTCCGTCACTTCCATTCAAACTATGACTGCAGCAATATGCTGGTGACCAAAGTAATCATAAAGAGGCTTTTACCAGCCGGCTGGAGACTACACATTTTCCTCTAACGACAGGTGGTGGCCAGGAGCTCACTGATTGGTCTGTATGTCTGTGTTAGAAGTCATTTTCTCAGTGACTGACATCAACCTTCACCAACCAGTTGGGAACAAGCATTTTTCCTTCACGACCAGAGGTTGCCTCGCTAGCAAAACTAACCATGTTTACAGCCCGTGTAGCTAATTTCAGTCGCAAAAAATAGTTCATCTTGGTTATATTTCTATCGCAATCCATGCTGTTGCAAAATTCTACTCTAATATTGTTTGATATCATAGTGGCAAGTCCACATTTTATATACAGAAATGTATGAAATGTACTAAAATTTATCTAAAATCTAAAGCACACACACAGTACTTAGCTACATCATTACTGCAGTAAATATCCATCTTCTATAACCACTCGCTGTAATATATGGCCGGGGGCATTACCCTACATATTCATTGTGCTCTTTGGTCCCACTTAATAGGTTTTTATAATATTAGGACAACTTGTAGTGTGCAACTGCTTGTATTACTTAATGAACTCCACATCTTAACATTAGTTGGTATTGTTTTGTTAGCTGGCTCTGGAGGAATCATCTTTATCTTTATCTTCCTCTGGCTGATGTTTTGAGCCTCTGCACTGTCCACCTCTTTTTTTTTTTTTTTTTGGAGGGTTTTTGGCAACTTTTCTGCTTCTTATCCTCCTGTTCTCAGTCACTATCTGTCATCCTGCTATTCCAGTGCCTCTGAGTCAGTACCTACTCAATAAATTCACAAAATACTGCTTCATAAGAAAAAAAAAAGACTTCCCGTGCACAGCCAGCTTTTCTGTCCACAAGAGTAAAATCTCTTTTTGCATATGTCGAGAGCAATAAGCATGATCTGAAAGCTTGCACGAATAAACATTAAAATCATATAAAAATAGCTTTCCTAAAATAGATGCTTTCCTTCCCTTTATTCAGACGGTTGAGTCAAAGGCCGACAGCAGAGGAGCTAGAACAGAGGAACATTCTGAAACGTAAGTCACTTTGCATAACATGAAGGAAAAAGAGAAAAAAAAACTACAGATAAAAATGATTTGTGTGTGAGTGTGTGTGCTTTCTGTGCGGTTTCCTGCAGCTCGAAATGATCTGGAGGAGCAGGAGGAGAAGAGGGAGATCAAGAGGCATCTGTCGAGAAAGGTAAAGGCAAAGAAGATGTGGACAGCGTGTCTTTGATCAATCAGTGCTGAGATGGTTCATAACCCCAACTAGAAATATGAACATGGTTGCCTTGGAGACTAACCTACCGCTCTTCAGACTGCACCCCTTTGAGAAGTAGTTTTTGTGTGTGTCTTAGATCGTCTCCATCGCAGTCACATGTTACTGAATAATAAAGAACACCTGACACAGTAAACGTCAAATTAGAGTATATCTGATGATCCACCATACAGCAACAGTCATTCTGATTATCGAGCACATAAATCTGTGTGTTTGTTTTAGTGTGACCGCCATGGACTGAAGTTCTGGTCTGTTGGTGTGTGCTGATATGATGTGTTTGCTTTTCTCCAAACATCTCTACTTCCATTGTTCCACAAGTTCTTTTAAAGAGAGGAGAGGTTTTCTCCCAGCAATCCTTCCAAACAAGCCATACTCGTTCAGGCTTTTTCTTCTGACATACATTTTAGCATTATCATGCTAATTGAGGCCTGTAGAGTCTGAGATGTAGCTCCTGGGTTTTTTTACAATGTATCTAAGTATTTCACCGTCTGAGCTGGGGGTGAATTTGAAAGTTATTAGCTGATGCTAACAATCAGCTGTGTATCCTTTTAAAAACAGCCTACAGTCATTCACTCACTACGTGGTTGTACACCACTCTGTGTTTAATCATTTAATCATCTTTGTCATGTCTTCCTCTCCTGACCACAACCTGCTGTGGCAGATGGCCACTCCTTCCCTTAGCCTGTTTCTGCTGGAGATTTCTTCCTCTTAAAAGGGAGTTTTTCCTTCCCACTGTAGCCAAGGCACTTGCTTACAGGGGGCTGCATGATTGTTGAGGTTTTCTGTTTTCTTTGTATTATTGTAGGGTCTTTCCTCGACAATGTAAAGCACCTTGAGGCAACATTTGTTGTGATTTGGTGAATATAAATAAAATTGAACTGAGTTGTAGTTTTCAACAAGTCTCACACATCTTCTGAGCAATCCCAGGTCATTCTTCTTTGGTGAATCTCTCAAGCTCCTCCAGATTTGTTGGTCTTCAGTTCACCACACAGATTTTCAATGAGATTCAAGTCGGGGCTTTGTGCAGGCCAGTCAGTAATTTTCATTTCAGTCTTCTGGAGGTAGATCTTCACAGGAGTGACATGTATTTTGGGTTGTTGTGTTGGAAAACAAAGCACTGGTGCAGATCCAGTTTTGCTGCTGTTTGAGGTTTTCTTTGAAAATCTTCATATATCCTTCTTTCCTCATGATTCCTTGACTAGACTCCCAGTTCCAGACGCACTGAAGTATCAACAGTTCCTCACTTGGCTAAGTTGGTCACTTGTTGGCAGTTGTTCTGAGGATCAGGCAGATCTCTCACTAGTTTTCTTTCCAGAGTCTTTAAAGTCGTTCACTTCCTACCTCTGCCAGGCTTGCTATGTGCTCTGTGGCTTTGAATTTCAATAAATTTCTCACTCCAGTTCTTGACACTGTGATAACATTGTATGTCTATCTGCTCCTTAGTAACCATAGACATTTTTTTCTCATGTAAACTGATTTCGTTTGATGCATGATGCTTTCCCAAGTTACAGCTCAAACTCTGGCTGAAGTTTTTATACTGTGTGTAAATTGGACAGCAACCCGCAGTTTTAATGATTTTATGTGTTTTAAGAATTATAAAGGTAAAGCACATCAAAAAATTGAAATCTGTAAGTTGGGGCTAATCATTTTGTCCTTGTCTGTACACACCTGAAAGTCCAGACCAGCAAACTACAAAAACTTCTGCGTTTGTAGACATCCTTACACTTACTGATAATTAATCGGGTGCACCTGATTAGCAGCACCTGGCTGCCACTTACCCTCCTGGTTCGTAAGAATGTAAGGATGTAAGGTCTGGTATTAAAAAAAGGGGAAGTTTTTTATAAAATTGTACAAAACTGTACAAAAGACAAAGTTAACTGTACTGAGGAGCACAAGTTACTTAATGCTGATTGGACAGCACCCATCTGTTCATCCACCTTTCAGCTCAGCCAGAGACCCACAGTCGAGGAGCTGAGAGAGGCGAAGATCCTCATCCGCTTCAGTGACTACGTGGAGGTCGCCGAGGCTCAGGACTACGACAGGAGAGCAGACAAGCCGTGGACTCGGCTAACAGCTACAGATAAGGTTCATTTCTCACAAAGACTGGATTCAAGTAATCTGTACTAGTGTGCTTTATCTAAGTGTGTGTTTCTTTGTTCAGGCTGCCATTAGAAAGGAACTAAATGAGTTTAAAAGCACAGAGATGGAGGTGCATGAGTCGAGCCGTCATTTGACCAGGTATGGAAAAGTTGCACAGAACAGCTAATGAGCTGCCTTACGAAACTGCAAAGCACTCTTTGTTTTGCTTTTTTGTTAAATGAGGTGTGTTGGGGAAGGTGCCAAAGTAAAGGTCATGGTGGAGTTCTGCTATGGACAGCAGTAGTTTTAAGAAGTGTGATTACACTTTTATAGCTGCCTCAGCCTTTATCAGCTAAAGCCTCACGTTGTCAGCTGTAGCTGTACCATGCTGCGCTGCCTCCAGATTGTTAAGCCCATAATTATGAGCAGCCAAGTGTGAAATCTTCAAATTACTTTCCTAGTTGTTGTTTTGTTTTTGTTTTTTTGACGCAAATGCAATATCTCCTACTTTGCAAGTAAACCAGCAGAGGTGTTAACATACTGGTAGAATCATGCTGAAGTCACAGGTGCTAAAATCTGGTGTTGCCATTAAAAATATAGGCTGACTGGAAGTGAAGGTTTTCCTTTCAGGGTATCCTGTCAAATATTTGCTCAGTGAAAAATTCTAATTCGTCATTTGGGTTTTTTGGCTTCTTCTTTTGTCTCCCCTACTCTCAGTTTTCGAGAGCAATGGCAGAAAAGAGGGGGAGCTGTGCTCTTACACACTGTGAGATCTGCTATGATGTGTGGTTTGGAGATGGTGGCGCTGACAAAAAAGACAGGAGGCTGAGTTGGAGGTGTCAGAGTTAAATATGTTGAGGTTTTCTTTGGGAGTGGCCAGACTGGACAGGATTAGAAGCGAGCATATCAGAGGGAAAGCTCAAGCTGAGTTTCTTGGAGACAAAATTGGAGGCAAGGCTTCCCATGGGGCCATGCTTGAAAAAGTTGACAGGGGCCTTCACCATGTTGGCCTTTTTTGTTGCTGGTTTGGCCTGGAGTCTTGCCAAGATGCTAGCTTCTTACAAATTTGAAGAATAACTCCCTAGAACAGGGGAAACTGTACAAACTCTTGGTTTTGGAGTAAAAAGCCATTCCAGCCTTTCCATCAGGGTAGGTGTAGACTTGTCCAACGTTCTTGATGGGCGGACTGGCAGGGATGGAAGGTGCCACCTCATCCTCACGGTCATCTGACCCAGCGCTACTGGTGGACTCCTCGCTGCAGCTGTCATAGCCATCAAACATCCTGAATGAGTCTCGTCGCTTACAATCTGAACCCGGGGTACGATCAGCCAAATCCCTTGAGTCTTCCTTCGGCCATTTATATAAATTCTTTTTTAGTTATCTGCACCTAGGGGTAGAACCTAGCTTTGAATTTTAGTCTACCTAGCAGGATTACCTAGCAGGATATCGACAAATTACTCTGCAGCTGAGATGGTTTTGACATCTTTATAGGAGGGATAGTGGATACGTTGGACAAAGGACGTTGAAGATTGAACTTCCAGGCTCATGAATGAAGTAGTTTAAATAACTTTAAATGGTTGGTGCCAGACAGGCTGCTACGAGTAGTTCAGATTTTCAGGGATTTTCCTGCACAATCATCTCTGTAGTTTACACAGAATGGTCTGAGAAAGCGAAAATATCCAGTGAGCAGCAGTGCTCTGGAAGAAAAGGCCTCGTTGATGCTGGAGGTCAGATGAGGATGTTCTGACTGCTTTGTCTCCTTTTAGATAATTTCATTGTGTCAGAATAAAGAACATTTCTTCAAACATGCTCATTTTCTCTTCCTGGTTTCTTCCTACAGGTTTCACAGGCCGTAAGTCGGCTCAGAGACCTCAGCCATGTTTTTAAAATCCCTTAAAGTCTCAAGTGTTCAGACTGCTACAGATTTCCAACATCAACTTCGAACTGGCTTCATCACACAAGTTTGAGCCATTACAGGAAACGGGAGAAAAACACTGAGATGGACGGATCAATGACTGTCTCCCCTCTGTGGAGATTTTGGTGACTTCTTGATATTCAAAAGCTTTTAATTGTATTTTTTTTATGATGAAGAGGTGGTGATATCTTTACTTTGCAGCACTTCTTTTTTCTTTTTTTTTTAAACAAGGCTCCTGGAGGTCCAACACAGAATCTGTGCCAATTTTACAGGATGGGGACGGTAAAAGATGAAACACAGGGTCTTTATTTCACTCTCACTGTTTTCATGCCTGTACCATATTTTCATCGGGCAGAATTTTTCCTTTGAGTATGCTTGTGTTAGCTTGATTTTACTCCACGTATGACATCTCAGTAATCATTTCTCTTTGCCAGAGGCATGAAAACATTCCACAAGTGTGTACTATTGCAGGCAGCTGAAGCTTAAGCCAAATTGCCCTAAAATTCTAATCAAAGTCCAAGAGTGCTCTCTACAACAAAAGGAAATTCCTGTCTCCAAACACTTTCACATCAATCCGCTGAGCAATAATGTCAGATTCTCTCTTTTACATCAATCTAGTTGTGGGCTGCGTTCGAGTGTTCAAACACTTTTCAAACTTCAGATTCCCATTTTAAACCAAAGCAACTTGACCTGTTGTGAAAGCCGTCACCTTGAATGGAGAATTCTGGAGTGACGAGTATCAAGAGTTCAGTAACCCACTGTGTCACTGTGCCTACAGGCGTGTTTACAGGGATTTCAAAGTTGCCAAATAACCTTGTTTATTTGATACAGAATATTATCTGTAGACACAGTAAAATGTTACTGAGCTCTCTGCTGAATTACAAGAAGGACTGTGTTTGCATTTCACCTTTTATTGTCTGACATGAGCCTTTTTGGTACGAAACGTGTCAATCCTGCCACCTTACGATTTGCCTTTTTTTTCCTCTCCCTTTTTAATGGTTTACACTTAAGATTGGGTCCATGAATTGGAGGTTTTTACCATGTTATTGGTGAGAACAAGCTGCGTGGGTTATGATTGTGTATCTGAGTGTGTGCGTATGCAAGAGTCAGTAATATTACTGTCACTTGTACGCGTTTAAAAAATGTTTTGAGAAAACTCTTCTCAGAATTCTAAGAGGATGTACATAAATTAAAAGGATTTTCAAATGTTCTTTTGTAAAGCAGAAAGACCTGCATGTGGGTATTAATTTATTGTGAGTCTTCTATGATGTATGCAGTTTCTTAAAGAAAGAAACTTATTAAAAAAATAATAAGTTACAGCCTCGTCTGGTTTTTTTCCCCCAACCCACCACCAACTCAAGTCTCTTTCACCAGAATGGTTTGCCAGAGTCGCAGGGGAAACCTGGAAAATCAACAGTATGAAAAGGGTCCCCATGGTTTATCAAAAGCAGCCATGATGAGTTTTCAGTTCAGTTCAGTTACGCAGAGACAAAGCCCCGTGGACGGCGAGTGCCGCAGTGTCTTAGTGAAGCATTGCGAGTCCAGGTGGATTTCAGGAAAGAAGATTACTTCTGGTTCCAGATATTTTCCTTGTCTGGCTCCGTGTTGCTATATAGCATGGATCAGGGTGCCGGAGTACTTATGCCACAAATCAATGGCTTTAGTGACAATGGCATCTGTGTTCTCCTGCGGTATCTGGAAGAGAGATTGAAGGGAAATATCATACAAAGCACATGCTAGGAGAGAATATGTGTCTGGATTTGAAAAGCTACAACGTAGGGGTCCAACTGTACATCTATCTGTCCTGTTAGGTCAAGGACGTCCAGTTCACCATGAGACTCGTTCAGTTGAATACACCCAGTGACCCAAACAAGTGCTATCAGTTTAGTCTTACATCTACATTCTGACACTGCAGCAGGTGTTTTGGCAGTGCACCAGTTGATGTCTCTCACCTATCTGAACTACAGCACAAGGAAAAAGATTTATTAAAAAAAATGTGTTCACTCATTCTATACATTCTAAGTGTCATTCAGTCACAACCAGAACCTGCAACGTCTGCTTGAATGGGTCGAATCAGAGCACCCGACTGGTAAGAGTCCGATCATCTCCATTGACTCCAGTGGACAGTTTGCTTGTTTGTTTGTTTTGTTTTACAGAAATAATGGATCACAGAGCTGGAAGTTAGCAACACACACTTGCAGAACTGCATATTTATGAAGTAAGATATTAAAAAAAAAAACTAAATTGTATTAGTGCACATCAATCAAACTCACTTGTGTATTTAAAACATGTTGGTTAATTATCCAAAAATGAATTTGCAGATTTTGGGCATGTTAATTGAGGCCAAATTAGGCTAGCACAATATTAACTAGGAACAACTAATCGCCTGTACATTCTTTTTATCTTAATGTTATTTCATCCAAAATTATATCATCAGAAAAAAGCCTACAAATCCTGCCAACTGTAACTGCTGTATCTGCATCTGATTTACTGTACTAACTCAAAAACCAAGGCTGGAGTGTTTATTGTTTATCAGAATCCAGGTATTGTTGGACCCATACTGTGAGACACAGTTGTCTCTTATACTTACATTGCACAAGAATTTGACCATGCCCTCTGGCCGGTTGATGCCCATCAAAATAATTTTGTAGCTGAGCAGGATCTCCAGGGCCACAAATACCAGGATCTTACACGAGCCACTGATCACCTTGTCCCACACCCTAAAGACAAGGGAAGACCACAATCAGACCAATAAAAGAGCCAACATACTACCCAGCACGTCCTAGAGCACACTTAAAGTTAAAGTTTGATAAACATAAATTTAATACAATTACTAGAATTTTTTTTTAATACTTCACATGCTTTAAAAAGACTGGCTGTCACTTCACATTTACTAATTAAGGCTGTAGGATATTCCCAAGGTGAGCCAAGAGCTATGGAATTTGTTCGATGTGTTTCATTATTCTCTGGGTCTGTAAATAAATTGTATATAAATAAGAAAGTACCTCCAAAATCTGTGTAATCTGTCCTCAACACAAAAATCCATTTTATGCTGGAAGTAAATTTTCGGCTACACTCCACAAACCCTTGAGAATGTGGAAACCATGAATTGGCCTTCAGGTGACCTCTATGACACAGTAACAGAGCGCTTTGACAAACAGTTAAGACAATCCGGACAAAGTGCAGCTTTCATGCACCTTTATGCTGACAATTTTTGCTTATTCATTAACACTGAAATCGACAAACTCAACAGTTCCTGTAGATGGACTTTTGGGTAGAGTCAGCTGTTGCTACACGGCTTGTTGAGCCATGCCATTCTTTGTAAATTGTGACTTTGGTTGATGAAGAAAAGATGGCTGGCAGCCTTCTGAGTAAGACACAATGTGGAACCCTATATAAAGGTTTTCTGCCATGCTGCCATGACTCCATGCTAAAGAAATGCAAGAATGCCCTTTAGCTTATGAGAATGCAGCTACCCTTGTTTTGTTGGCTCAATCCAAAGATGGTGAAATGAGCAGCTTCTGGAGTGAACAGTTAACTGACCTTTGCAGACTGGATTCAGGCAAGCAGCCAGCAAAGCAGCATCTGAACCAGAGGTTGTAGGGTAGCTGATGCAGGGCTCCGCTGTTCTTCAGATGGTTTAGCAGTCGAGGTTCCTCCTGACTCAGATAATGCTCCAGGCTCTTTGGCTACCCCAGGAGGAAAATAACAAAGTCTTTATTTTAAGATCTTTGTGATTCAGATTGTTGGATCATGAGAACTTTACCATTATGCATTATACAGATTGTACAAATTGAAGTTACACCAAGATACACTCTCACTCAGTGTCTCAGCGTTCTGTCAAAAATACATCAAAATATGTAGATTCACAAATTTATAAACATATAAGCAGTGTTGGGAAGGTGTATGTATTCCACTACAGATTACATGATTACAGAATACATGCCCCAAAATGTATTTTGTAACGTATTCCATTACGTTACTCAATGAGAGTAATATATTCTGAATACTTTGGATTACTTAATATATTATCATGCTTTTTACAACTACATGAATGTACTATTGCTGTGTGATTTATTACTATTACTGAAGGTTACTCGCCATACCAATAACAACTAGATGTTTAAATCTTAATATAAATGAGTAACAGTAGGTGGACATTAGGTAAGGCTGCACTTTTTGCAGCGATCTCGTATAGAAAACTAATCGCGCGGATATAAAACAGGTCCACAGCTCCGAACCGTAGTAAAGGGACCTCTGGCTAATACGTCGGGTTCGTGTCGGGCTCGTAGCCGAAAACTAGCTTTACTTTGTTGTCTAGGCCAACTTTGCTATTGAGAGACAGAGAGAGGCGAGTCTACAGTCGACTCTTAATAGCTTACTTACAACTGGGCTACACTGCCCATGAGGCTACATTCTTTAGGCCTATGCCTGCAACACTCTGTCTATTGCCTTCATATTGAATAATTTTTTGAACAATAATTTTTAACAATATTTCATCACGTCATTATGTGGGCTGCAAGTAGACGTGAGCCGCGAGATTGAGACACAGGCATTAGAGCCTCTTAATGGGTGTTTTGTTTGAGTTTCCACCAGCGTGGAATTACCAAAAATAGAGAGGATATAGCCCAACATATGAAACAGGAAAAGACCGCCGTGTAATCCCTTTATTTCAACTGTATTCTGAATATCACCTTTTTAAACGGTAACTGTAACGGAATACAGTTACTCATATTTTGTATTTTAAATACGTAAAGGCGTTACATGTATTCTGTTACTCCCCAACACTGCATGTAAGTACAGCTGTCACTGTTTTAAAATCCTCAACTGTGTGAAACGGAGCACACGTGCATGGGCCTCAGCTCTACTTTGACAGTTCGCCTTAAATAGAAAGTAAGCAGCCTTTAAAAAAACTCATTAGACTCAGCAGAACAGCTGTCTGTATGCACACAGCTGCGAGGGTTATTTATAACAACATTATCAGTGCAGCATTATCTCCAACATTATTAAACTTCACAAAGATGAGCAGTCTTTTATTCACACTGCTCATTAAAAACTGACGTACAGGAAAAGAAATTACATAAACACACTTTCATCACCTAGTTCTCATCATTTGTCCTCAATTCTTACTGCAATTTATCCTTTCTGTGACCAAAACTATCCAGAAAATGATTTCGTTTAATTGAAGAATGTTTTCTAACCATTGTCTTTTTTCTGGTCAACATCTGAGGCCTGTACTATGAAGCAGGATTAGGGATTTAGATTTATTGTATCACCTGCATTGTGCATTAAAGCTCTTCATATTTTTCCAATTTAAACTATGTTTTGTAAAATATGCTGCTGTGCTGACAGCACACCTGGCCATATGTTACCAAGACTGTCCCTTTACTTTGAATGGGCTCACTTAGATAGCTAACGCCTGGGTTACTTCATTTGACTACTGAACACCTTCATGTAACCATTTAATGAGGCTTATGTTGTTATCGTTTTTGCTTTGTCGTTTTTCAACAATCTTCTTGTGGTGTGTCTGTGAGCGACGCAGTGTCTGCATATGTACCTTTATCACAAAACGTATCTAAAAAAGCTGCACTAACGCCAATTTATTCCCGTTCTTTTAGTTAATCTATTAACAATGTCAAACAGTTTGACAGGCTTATAGTATTTTTGCACCAAAAAGGTGCTTCACAAAGAGCTAGTAGCTGGAAACTTGGCACACCTCGGGATGGTGTACAGTGTGTGAAATGATGAAAACTAAACATTAAACACTTACAAGGTGAGGTACTGAGTCTCCAAACTTTGTATGGTACTGGTTGACAAAACACTTGACGAGCCAGTAGCAGTCAACAGGATCATCTACAATCTCTTCCATGGCTCGGCTGATGGAGAGGAAGTCTTCATTCTCTTCATCCTGGTGAAGAAGAAAAAAACAAAAGAAAACATATCAACAACACAGACCCAGAGAAAAACACTTAAAATAAAATCTGTACTTTTTATGTGGTCATTGTTTCTTAACGATCAAACAGCTATACAACAACACTTTCATTGAATAGAACAGAATCTTTATTGTCACTGTTACAAGAACAATGAAACACAGTTTGGCATCTCTCCGTTGGCAGCATGTAGATTTACATTCAGTTTGTTTAAGGACAGGAGAAGAAGATAAAAATAGGCATAGGTTTTAGGGGTATCTACTCAGGGAATGTGTGTGACACACAATGTGTGTAATACTATTGACAATGCCTTGGTTAGTATCATTATTTTCAATCTCACATGTCTGAATTTACAGCTATTTTTTCATTGACATACTGTATTAACACAACCGATCTAAAAATTACACACAAAAAGCTCCCCATAAAAACCTAGTAGGAAAAAGTTACCAGAGGGGATAAATTCAGTTTTAGAATTTAGATTCAATGTTAACTGTAGCTAAGTTCAAATTGTTAATGCTAGCTTATTTTAATCAACAGCATTGTCATAAGCAAAACTAGGGTGGCAAAAGATTATTTTAGGGTGGCACATACCACACCATGCCACCCCTGTAGATTGGCCCTGTTCACTGCAAAACCAAGACGCCGCGTGTTAACATCTCCCCACACACCCAAACAAAAAAACAAACAAAAAAAAAAACAGTTAAATAAACCATCTGTGATACCTGTGACTGTTCTTGGGCAGTTGTTTTAGTCACTATCCAGACTTTTGTTTCTGTAGTTTGATATCATCACATTTTTTTATTTTCCAATTTTTAGATGTTATAAGCATGACATTATAATTTCAATTGCTTATTTTGTCTTGTGAATTCTTGCTTGATGTACTTTTTGTTGCTATGATCTTTTGTTTGATCTTAAATTCTGCTGCTCAACCCACAAATGCATTTTCTTTACAAATGTGGCACCATTTAAGGGGAAACAAACAGGCTTTCGAACAGTGTGAGAATTATTTCTTCACTGTTACAAGAAAGAAATATGTGACAAAACACAAATTTACATCCTTTTCGCTTATTATGGACTGATATACTTTATTTTTTACCGGGGGTGAAGTCTCAGAGCATCGCGGGAGGGTCTGGCTCTCCAGTTGGAACATCCGCAAGTAAACATGGGTGGAGGGTGTGGAGGAGTTGATGTATCTCATCACTTCCAGAGCTTCCAGGATATCCTGATACTGCTCCTTCCTGTAGCCCCCAACCAGAGCATGAGAGTCACTGTGTGGAGGTAGGATGCCTGCAGGCACAGATGACTTCTAGTTAAGAAATGTATACATACACATTTAACAAAACTGAGTTAATTTTAAAAAAGGAGTGCAGTGTTCAGTTGTGTTGGACAGATTAACCTATTTAGCATAAATAAGTTCCAAACAAGAGAAATAGAAGTAAACGAAACATGTGTTTACATGCAGCTCTTAGCCTTGCATATGGCTGCATATGTCTATACTGCAAATCACAATTACTGAAAATGAATATTTTAAATATAGTTTTTAAAAAAAATCTTTAAAGACTAGTGCAGTACAATAGCTAAGTGATTCTCTCCTGTATTTTTTGTTTCTACCCATCTAGTCAAATCTGCACAACTGAAGAGGGTGACAGGGTGAACACCTGATCGCATGTGATTCTTACCCAGCAGTACCTTCCACACATGAATCCTGTACATGGAAGGAAGGGGGAACCTCTGACTGAAGGTGCTTAGCTTTTCTAAATCTGTAAGAGAGCAAAACTCTTCAGGTATGAAGTTTAAAAAAAGGGAAATTGAAAAAATATATATATAAAAATACATTTATTTATTTTTTTGGTCTGGCTTTTTCCAGACCAAAAAAAAACCATGAAAAATGTGTCATTGTACATGCATATGTGTGCATGTGCGTGTGTGTGTTCCGTGTTCAGCCAAGAGAAAGTGTCCCTTCAGTCAGTTAGGCAAAAGTCAGCAATCTTAGGTCGACACAGGTGGTCTTGAATGAGGGGGGAGGCAGTCACAACACAGTCTTGTTATCTAAGGGAGAATTTTTTTATTTCCATCAGCTTTTGCCTTGAGCATCCAGCTGGCGCCAGGGGGTGCCGCATGAGATAAAGATGGTAGTTGTTTTGGTTAGCGAAACAAACAGCTTCCAATTTTACAACCAGCCTTGTGGGATTTTGAACAGCTGTAGCCGCTTCTTGTTCTTCAATAAGCCAGCCAGAACTCTGCTATTGTGGTTCCAAATTGGTAGATGTCGTTCAATGTCCTCCATCGAGAGCGTCGTCAGACACATGATGCAACCAACCATCGAGTACCCGGCAGCAAACGTCTCCACAGGACAATTGGGCTCTCCCAGGCCCAGGAGTTGTCAGTTTCGTTAAGGGACCAAATCCATAATTCTTCTTTAGGTTTTTAGAGAACAAGTCTGGGAGACTCTCTTAGGGTTAGAGAATAAGCGAGACTATACAAAAGACACGAGAAGCCAAGCTGGAAAGATAAGGGAGAGGGAGAAGGAGAAAGATGTACTCCATTTTACAGTGTATGACTCAGGAAAACAATCCTGCTCAATTATTCATTCAAGTTTGAGATCTGTGGCAGTAAAAGAGGAAAATGTTAACACTGGAATGTTTTTCCTCCTTGGAAACCTGCAACATGACCAAGAAGGTGCCCTTCATTTAAACGTTCCTCAGTTGTTAGTAAGGGACCCAAAGTGTGCGAAGAACATATATCTCAAGCCATTACACACCATCAACCACCATCAACAACCAACCACCAGCCTGAGCCACTGACACATGGCAAGATGCATGCTTTCATGTTATGTGCACCATATTTTAACCATTCATCCGTCTACCATTTGAATGCTGCAGCAGAAATCAAGACTTATCAGATTAGACAATGTTTTCTACTGTTCAATTCCAATCAGCCCATGACGATTAGAGTCTCCGTTTTCTGTTATCAATTGACAGGAGTGGCACCTTCTGCTGCTGAAGCCAATCTGCTCCTAAGTTTTACATGCCGTGCATTCATATTGGCACTTCTGCATAACTAGTTCCAATGGGTGGTTCTTTAAGCTACTGTTGCCTCCCTATCAGCTCAAGCAGCCTGGCAATCCTCCTCTGACTTCTGCCATCAACAAGGCATTTTCACCAAGAGAACTGCTGCACAGTGCATATTTTCTCTGCAAACCCCTGAGTGGCCTGTGCCACTCCGATGATGACAAATCAGATGATGCAAACAACCATGCCGCATTCAAAAATCACTTAAACCACCTTTCTTCATTTTGCAAGACTCAGTTTGAACTTCGGCAGGTAATCTTGATTATGTTTACATGCCTAAATGCATTCAGTTGCTATCACGTGATTGGCTTATGAGATATTTGCGGTAATAGTAGCTGAACAGGTGTCTTTAATAAAGTGTTCGTAAGATTATATTATAGCATAGCATTGGCTTACAGGTATATTGTTATTGTCATGGTAGTGCGGACGCTTAGCTAGCAAGAGACTTTACACTTATGCTACCTATGCTAGCACGAGCGATAATTTTTCCGTTACCCACCCAGAGGATTGTCTTTGAGTAGTATCTCCAGGGACTTCTTCTCCTCCACTCCTCTGAAACCCACTTTCTCGTAGTATGCAGAGCGAAAATTTCTCTGTGGGTCGTCAGCCATGGTGCCGCCTGGACAGTTAAACATGTGCATTTCAAACTAAAGAAAAGCAAACTTTAAGTATTAGCCTGTTTTAGCCTGCATGGACATAAGACAAAGTTTCTCGTCCAGACGTGCAGCTTGGGGGAAAACAGAAAAATGTTTTTAATTTGGCTGACTAAAAAAGTTAATTACGACTCCCTGCAGTTTGCTGGAACACAAACACAGTGAACACAAAGACTCCTGCCTTGACGTTTCAAAGCGTTTCGGGCTCCCGCGACCCTCAGACAGCTGCCCCACAGCTGTTTGCTACATAACGTCAGCAAACAAGCTAGTGTTAGCTTAGGAACAGATAACCAGCTAAAAGCATAACTACTCTAAAGTAAAAATTCTCTGAGAGACTACTAAAAAGTATTAAAGTGGCCATCACAACCAGTGATAAGAACAATTTAAACAGATAAAAAATCTACAGATAAATTGACAACCTCCTCCGGATGCCATACAATGTTGTTATGAAAACCCTTCCGGGTGATACTATCAAAATAAATTCCGTAGCAACGTTCCAAATATGAAAAATATTTTTATTTTGAAAATATAGATTACCATGCTACGCCTCATATACGATTGCACTTTCAACTCTGCTTGCCTTGCATTTCTTGATCTTTATCTTGCAGGTTATTTATACTACATTATTTATAAACAAATAACTAATAAAGAAAAATCAACAAGCTTCTTTCTTTAAGGGAAAGGTGTGTCACAGCTTTCATAACCCACTTAGAATACTATTTAGATTGCTACTTTTTAGACTTCCTATATTCATTTTATTTTATTGAACTTTTCTGAGACATTTTTGCCTTTTCGAGCTATTTTGTTTTGTCAGATTCTATCATACTATTCTACTTTATGCATCTACCATGTTATTGCCTGTGTTAACTGTTTTGGGTGCCCTAACACCAGTTGCTCAGTTTTATTTCTTTCAAATCAAACCTTAATCTGAAAAATGCATTTGATTACTTGTGATAATGCCAAGGCTGAAGCAATAAAATACAAATATCTATAATTTTTAATCTTTCATTTAGCATTTTATATAGATGAAATTACCACAGCACAAATGTATTGTGCTGCGAATTGAAAATCAAACAAAAACCAAATAACCAAATAAAATGAACAAACATATCTTACATGGCAGCAACAAAGGGTATTTTAGATGAACACAAATAAGAACAGTCAGGAATGAGCAAAAAACTCAAGTTTTTATTTTAAGATACTGAAAAAAAAAAAACGTTACAAAAGTGGAAGCACTACTGGGCAAGAAACCAATGAATGAATGAATAAAAGATGACTTTATGAAAATGATGAAAAACAGCAGTTAAGCCAATGCAACCCAACTATAAATCCCTCCCTGTAAACCAAACACACAACATGTCAAATAACTGTAAACCCTATTCTATCATTTTTCAAATGCAAAGCATACAAAGTGATATTTTCATTAATTTTTGAAAAAAAAATTAAATGACATGAACTATATTATTAATCCACACACCTCATTTTAGAAACCATTAATACTTTTGTCCATTAAAAAACAAACAAACAAACATCTTGCAGTTTTTCTGTATAATTTGAACTATAGATTTTTAAGCACATCAACACCAAAGCTTACTCTAAAAATATGCGAACATTTAACAATTCAGACTGCTAAATATAAATTTTCTCCTCACACAGAACACTCATTTTTTCCACAACTTTTTTCCAAAACACTGAAAATAGTTTTGACAAATTCTGATTTGTGTGCAAGAAAAGCACAAACTCTGCTTTTCTTTTATCAATTTAGCTTTTGGTTTGGAAGGAGTTGAAGCTGGAAATACTGTAGCGACTGACTGATGAGGATATGGGAGAGCCTAAGTCTAAACTGTTCCTGCGGGAGCTTCGTCGTGAGCCACTCCGGGAGCCTGTGGTGGATCCTGGGGCAGAGGCAACATTGTATGGACTACTGATGCCTCTCGAAGACACAGACGACGCCTGGAGCATTTTAACGCCAGTGCTTTCCTCTGTCAGGCAGTTATCCAGAGCCTCTTTGTAAGAGATTTTAAGTTTACTTTTGGGGCATGTTAGGTTCTTTGTGTGGTATTTCGTATCTTGGAGCTTCTGGCCTGCTCTCCCATCCAGCCAACCCATTTTCAAGGCATCTTCTATGGTTCTTCTACCACCCATTTCTGGGTCATACAGACCTCCTGTTACAACTTGGAACTCCATGAATCTCTGTCCTGCTTCATATGGCAGCCACATCTCCTTAACTGCCTCAGGAACTGACATTTTTCTCTTCATTTTTACATCTTCAAAGCCAATATAGGCTTTTTGAGCAGGCTTAAGTTTAGTGGCCATGTCTTCAGTTATTATGCCCATACGACATGCCTCTTGGATGCTGACCCTTCTGCCACTTGCAGGATCAACAATTCCTCCAGTGCACGCCTGGGCCTCAAGCAGTCTCTGGGTAGTGATGGAATCCACTAGATCACGATTTAACGCCTCTGTGACAGATATCTTCTCTACGTTGTCTGTGTCAAAAATGCCACCAATAGGTTCTTGTTCACCCACTATTTCAACAGGAGAGGACAGAGTGAAAGATACACTGGACATGTGTTTATGGAAATCAGGTGAATCTTGCGAAACACTGCTGGCGCTTCGCTCTGTGACAGTGGTCGTCTTTGTTGTGGTCATTTTAGCGAGAGTGGGAGATAAGGGTCTTGACACCAGTGAGGATGATCGTGAGGATGATGTCGACAAAGAGGGAACTGAGCCTTCTGATGTTCTTAAATTTGATGATGAAGATGTTTTTGTAGTTGTTGATGATGATGTTACTGAAGATATTCCCAAAGGTGTTCTTGAAGTTGTTGATGATGATGATGATGATGATGATGATGATGATGATTTCACTGAAGATGTGCCCAAGGCAGCTGGTTGTCCAAACGATGAGCTATGTTTGGTCTTTCTGGTGATGATATCAGCGAATTCATTAATGGTGATGGCTCGTGCACGATACTGAGCTACAACTGATTCATCAATTAATCGCTTTTCAAGCAGTTCTGTAATGTCATACTGTCTTCCAGTTTTCTTGTCATTAATAAGAAACTTTACAGAACCATCTGGAGCAGTAATAGTGACCTCTTCCCATTCACACTCTTGGTCGGACAGCTCCAGGAAGGTCTCGTAGTCAATAAGCCCTTTGTCATATGCTTCTCGGACTGTCATCTCTTTATTGGTGTCTGGGTCCACGATCAATACTCTCCTCTTCCTCAGAGTGTTCTTCTGTGTTGACTCTTGACTTTTCTTGTCGATTATAGGCAAAAGCATGAGGCCGGTCTTCTTATCTGGGATACAGCGGTTCTTAAGCTCCGTGTAGGTTAGGTTTTCTTCCGTGTTAGGGTCAAAGAAACCTTTAGTATCAGCATTCTGATCAGAGAGGATCTTAATCATTCCGTCATCCAGGTAGCCTCTTTTGTAGGCTACATTCACATCAATACGATGACTGTGTTCCGGATCAATGATACCACCACTGGCAATTTGGGCCTCTAGTAGACGAATGCCATGGCCTTTCTCCACTAGACCTTTCTCAATGGCCTGAAAGAGAGAGATAGTCTTGTCTGTACCAGGCAGTCTGTAACCAGTCACAGCCCTTTCTGCCGCTAGCAGGTTATCTTTAAACTCTGGCCCAAACAGTCTTCTATTGTAGGCTTCACTAACAGTTAGATAGAGATTGTTCACAGGATCAACTATAAAACCTGAGGCAGCCTGAGCTTCAAGCAGTTCAAGAGTGGTCCCAGATTTCAACAGTCCATCTTTCATTGCCTGATAAATTGTCAGTACTTTATCACTGGCCTGATCATAAACTCCTGCTATGCAGGTGGAACCTCTCAGATAGGAGCGTAGACGCTCTTCAACCTCTTGGCTAGTCAAGCTACCTTGATTCAACTTGTCAATATCAGACCGCTGCAGCAAGTTTGCATCCACTAGATCCACAACAGACACCTGGCCTCTAAGCCCCTGGACAGTTGCTGGCTTTTTAGGTTCAGGGAGAAGCAAAAGACCTGTGCTTGGATCAGCTTTACATTTTTTCTTCAGGGATACATAAGGAGTTCCTTGCTTGGTGTCTGGGTCCAGATAACAGTCAGGACCCTGACTTAAGGCATGGTATAGATCCTGATCTATGAGATTCCTATTTAGTGCAATGTTTTTGGGTAGGAATATACTGAGGTCAGGGTCCAATATACCCCCTACAGACTCTTGAGCTTGAAGCACACGCAGAGCTGTGTCCTTGTCAATTAATCCCTTCTTCATGGCCTGGCCAGCTGACAGAAGTTTGCCAGTAGTAAGGTCTTTGTAGCCTATAGCAGCAGCTTCCGCTGCAAACAATTTTGATTCATCCTCTTTATCCACTACTCCTCTGGCACATGCTTCTTTGACTGTTAGTTTCTGGTTAGTTCTGAGGTCAATGATGTGACCTGTGGCAGCCTGAGCTTCCAGTAGCATGTCAGCACTATCAGATGACAGAATTTTCATTTTCTTTGCCTCTGTAAAGGACATTTTCCTTGAAGGCCCAACTGCCACACCAGCAATGGATCCAGTCCCTTTTAGAAAGACTTTCTTATCCACAGAGACTTCTGGGACTGTTTTCTTTCCCTTCAGTAGTTGGTCAAATGTTGATTTGTCCAGGACCCCACAATCAAGCAACTGCTGTGCTGAGACTGGTTTGCGAACACCATCAAACATTAGTTTGGAAGGGTCCTTCCTCTCGGTGACTGGTAAAAGTATCAGGCCTGTGTGAGGCTCTGATTTGCATCTTCTCTTTAAAGCCCCATAGCTGACATCACGTTCTGTGTCTGGATCAAGGTAACAATCGGGGTTCTGGTTTAATGCACGAAGCAGATCTTGATCCAGAAGATTACGCTTTATAGCTGTGTCTCTAGGTAGAAACACGCTAAGGGCTGGATCTAGAATGCCACCTGCAGATTCCTGGGCTTGCAGCAGACGTAGTCCTGTTTTTTTGTCAATTATTCCCTTCTTCATCGCCTCAAACACTGAAAGAGGCTTGGTTGTGTAAGGGTCTCTGTAGCCAACAGCAGCAGCCTCTGCTGCCAAGAGTTTCTCTCGATCTTTACTGTCCACTACTCCCCTTGCACATGCCTCCTCTACTGTCAACTTCTGATTTGATGTAGGCTCAATAATGTAACCTGTAGCAGCCTGGGCTTCCAGAAGTAAATCTGCACTATCTGGGGGCATGATCATCTGTTTCTTGGCTTCTGCTAAAGAAATCTTCCCTGAAGGCCCAGCTATTACACCAGCAATTGAACCAGTCCCTTTTAGAAAGATCTTTTTATCCACGGAGACCTCAGGGACAGTCTTCTGTCCTTTTACTAGCTGGTTAAATGTTTCCCTGTCAAGAACCCCACAATCAAGCAACTGCTGTGCTGAGATTGGTTTGCGGACACCATCAAACATGAGTTTGGAAGGGTCCTTCCTCTCAGTGACTGGTAAAAGTATCAGGCCTGTGTGAGGCTCTGATTTGCATCTTCTCTTTAAAGCCCCATAGCTGGCATCACGTTCTGTGTCTGGATCAAGGTAACAATCGGGGTTCTGATTTAATGCACGACAGAGTTCCTGATCCACAAGGTTACGCTTTATAGCTGTGTCTCTCGGAAGGAACACGCTAAGGTTTGGATCTAGAATCCCACCTGCAGATTCCTGGGCCTGCAGCAGACGTAGTCCTGTTTTTTTGTCAATTATTCCCTTCTTCATCGCCTCAAACACTGAAAGAGGCTTGGTTGTGTAAGGGTCTCTGTAGCCAACAGCAGCAGCCTCTGCTGCCAAGAGTTTCTCTCGATCTTTACTGTCCACTACTCCCCTTGCACATGCCTCCTCTACTGTCAACTTCTGATTTGATGTAGGCTCAATAATGTAACCTGTAGCAGCCTGGGCTTCCAGAAGTAAATCTGCACTATCTGGGGGCATGATCATCTGTTTCTTGGCTTCTGCTAAAGAAATCTTCCCTGAAGGCCCAGCTATTACACCAGCAATTGAACCAGTCCCTTTTAGAAAGATCTTTTTATCCACGGAGACCTCAGGGACAGTCTTCTGTCCTTTTACTAGCTGGTTAAATGTTTCCCTGTCAAGAACCCCACAATCAAGCAACTGCTGTGCTGAGATTGGTTTGCGGACACCATCAAACATGAGTTTGGAAGGGTCCTTCCTCTCAGTGACTGGTAAAAGTATCAGGCCTGTGTGAGGCTCTGATTTGCATCTTCTCTTTAAAGCCCCATAGCTGGCATCACGTTCTGTGTCTGGATCAAGGTAACAATCGGGGTTCTGATTTAATGCACGACAGAGTTCCTGATCCACAAGGTTACGCTTTATAGCTGTGTCTCTCGGAAGGAACACGCTAAGGTTTGGATCTAGAATCCCACCTGCAGATTCCTGGGCCTGCAGCAGACGTAGTCCTGTTTTTTTGTCAATTATTCCCTTCTTCATCGCCTCAAACACTGAAAGAGGCTTGGTTGTGTAAGGGTCTCTGTAGCCAACAGCAGCAGCCTCTGCTGCCAAGAGTTTCTCTCGATCACTACTGTCCACCACTCCTCTTGCACATGCCTCTTCTACTGTCAGCTTCTGATTGGATATGGGATCAATGATGTGACCTGTCGCTGCCTGGGCCTCCAGTAGTAAATCTACACTGTCTAAGGGCATGAGCATCTGTTTCTTGGCCTCTGATAAAGACAGTTTCCCTAAAGGTCCAGCCACCACACCAGCAATCACTCCTGTCCCCTTTAGAGAGATCTTCTTGTCTGCAGACACCTCTGGGACAGTCTTCTCCCCCTTCAGTAGTTGGTTAAATGTTGGTTTGTCCAGCACCCCACAATCAAGCAAGTCCTTTGCTGTTACTGGTTTACGTACACCATCAAAGACCAGTTTAGTAGGATCTAGTTTCTCTGAGACTGGCAAAAGTAGCAGACCAGTATGAGGCTCTATCTTGCATCTTTTTTTCAAAGTCTCATAGCTGGCATCATGCTCAGTTTCCGGGTCAATGTAACATTCAGGATCTTGTTTCAGAGCATGACGAAGGTTTTCATCTAAAAGGTTGCGCTTAATAGCTGTGTCTTTAGGCAGGAACACACTGAGATTGGGATCTAGAATTCCTCCCACTGATTCTTGGGCCTGCAGTAGACGCAGTGCAGTCTTATTGTCAATCAATCCTTTCTTCATGGCCTCAAACACTGAGAGAGGCTTGGCAACTTTAGGATCCTTGTAGCCAACAGCAGCGGCCTCAGCTGCCAATAATTTGTCTCTATCTCTTATATCCACTACTCCTCTGGTGCATGCCTCTTCTACAGTCAACTTCTGATTTGTTTGAGGGTCAATTATATGACCAGTTGCAGCCTGCGCTTCCAGTAGCAAATCTGCAGTATCCTCAGGTAGCAACATTTGTCTCTTGGCTTCTGACAAGGACATTTTGCCTTGCTTCCCAGCTACCACCCCAGCAATTGGCCCAGTCCCCTTCAGATTGACATTTTTATCAACAGACACTTCTGGGATGGTTTTCTTCCCCTTTTCTAGATCTTTAAATGTTGGCTTGTCCAGGACACTGCAATCCAGCAGCTGCTTGGCTGTGACAGGTTTTCGAACACCATCAAAAATAAGTTTGGAGGGATCTATCTTCTCAGTGACAGGAAGAAGAAGAAGGCCCGTGTGTGGTTCTACCTTACATCTTCTCTTCATTGACATATAACTTACACCGTCCTCGTTTTCTGGGTCCAGGTAGAGCTCAGGTCTTTGACTCAAAGCACGGCATAAGTTGTCATCAATTAGGCCACGCTCAATGGCTGTGTCTTTGGGAAGGAACACACTGAGTACTGGATCTAGAATGCCCCCCACAGACTCCTGAGCTTGTAAAAGACGCAGTGTTGTGTTTCTGTCAATTAGTCCCATCTTCATGGCCTGAAATACTGAAAGAGGTTTATTTGTCCCAGGTCCATTATATCCTACAGCTGCAGCTTCTGCTGCTAGCAACCTCTCTCTGTCCTTATCATCAATCACACCATGATTACATGCTTCTTCAACTGTCAACTTTTGATTAGTTCTGGGGTCAATGATGTGTCCTGTAGCGGCTTGAGCATCCAGAAGCAAATTGATGGCATCTGCTGGGAGGAGATTTTCATTCTTGGCTTCAGTGAAAGTCAGTTTTGCAAACTGAGGTCCAGAAATGGAGCCTGGACCTTTTAGACCTTCAACTACCACCCCGGCTATTGGGCCTGTACCTTTTAAATTGACTTTTTTGTCAACAGACACTTCAGGGACAGTCCTATGTCCCTTCACCAGCTGGTTACATGTTTGTTTATCCAAAACACCACAATTGAGCAACTGGTCTGCTGTCACTGTCTTACGGACTCCATCAAAAATCAGAGTGGAAGGATCCAAGGTTGGGGGTTCTCTGGCAGTCTTCAGTTCAGTTTCTATGTTCTTTCTGACAATGGTGACCTCATGTAATTCTTTCTGGGTGGCTGACAGTTTAATTTTATATGACTCTTCAAGCTCACGTAACTCTCTCATCAGCCTTTCTATCTCACTTTTCAAAGATTTCTTTTCCCTCTCCGAAATATCCTTGTCTGTCTCATACTGCCTAATCAGGCCATGTTTGCTATCACACTGGTCCTTCCAGTGACTTAAATCCCTCTTCACTCTTTCGTTCTCCTCCTGTAGACGCTGCTTATTGCGATACTCAGATTCTAAGGACAGTTTAATGCGGCTGAGTTCCTCCTCTAGTCTTAAGATGTGGTCTTTGTCCTTTTCTGACAACTGCAATTTCAGCAACAGAGTGTCTCTCTCGGTTACAATTTCATTATACTGGGACTGAAGGGATTGCATGGTGGCTCTTATCTGCAGGAAATAAAGAGAGAGAAAAGAGACGAGAAGTTACTCAACTCAAAAATACTCATATATTAACAGTATAGATGAGGAACCTCATTTATTTCTTTTTCATTTTTTGTATATAACCAGTGGTTATTGAGGACAGTGCACATTCTTGCTCTTTTCAATCTTTCACAGTGCAAGAATTCTTTCTGCGGAAAGAATATTTGGGTGCACAGCTTATTTAGAAACAATAAAAGCATTTTCTCAAAAAAGTTTTTTGTTGTCGTTACAACTCAAACCTTTTTACATTTTTGTAAAAGAAAAACAGCTGGCAATAGTGTTAAAAGTTGAAATATAAAAAGCAAGTCTGTGCCTGTTCTGCCAAATTGTCATTTGGTTTGCTATACTAGTGATATAACAAAAAATGGCTAATTCTATTTAACGACCAGAAAGCAAGACTGATTTGCAAAACAGCACAGATACATAAAACCAATAGATGTGGGCCAATCGTGATCACCTGATTTTAGTTTGCAAGAGGAGTTGTCATAAGCATTTTTGGAAACTGTAAATTTCTGAAGTCATGCCAGTGCTGTTTTACAAGATTGCAAAAGGTGTCTTTAAGCCCATTAAGATGTACTAAAAATATAAGAAACAATGATCAGAATCTAGTAGACCAGGAAACCAGCGGCAGTGATGGTGCTGATCATTCTGGGCAAATAAAGTGACCCCAAAAAAGCAAGCGAACTGCACTAACTCTAACCCTTAACTCCCCATCTTTCCACAGTGTGTACAGGGAGACAGTGGAATAGGAAGGCTGTCAGGTAGAGAGGCACAGATTATGTTTGCATGCGAGTTTATACACATGCAAGTTTATTCAAACACATACAGACAGTATGTGTTCAAATCAGAGTTGCATCTACAAGAGGCACTCCAGCATGCAAGGAAAGGGTTTGCTTCAGACTAGCTAGAGCTACAGTTGCTACTTGAATGCTTCAAGTGGTGAAGACTCTGATTTGGAAAGACGAGAACAGTCCAGGACTAAGCACCAAACTTCCATGTACCTCGGTGGCCTGCGTTTGTATTTTCTCAGTCTCCACTTTGAGTTTCTCCCTCTCAGAGGAGAGCTCGGAGACCAGGTTGCGGTAGTCTAAATTACTGCGCTCACTGGCCTGTAGCTGCAGCTCCAGCGCAGTAATCTGCGAGGAGAGCTCATCATCACTTCCCTGTTTGGCCCTCAAGAGTTCATCTTTCTCATGTCGTGTTGTCCTTAGCTCCTCATCCAGTCTCAGCCTCTCTTTGGTCTGAGCTTCTGTCAGCTCCTTCAGCCTTTGAAGCTCAACTGAGTTCGCATTCAGTATCTTGCTTTTCTCCTCTATAGATTTATAAAGACCTTCATTCCTGAGGTTTGCCTCTTTGACTTTGAGCTGCTCCTCAAGCAGCTGCTGCTGAAGGGCTTTCAGGTCAGAGCTCAGCTGTGTGATGTGCTCTGCAGAGGTCTTGTTCTGTCTCAAGCTTTTCTCTAGCTCCTCCTGCAACTGAAGACGCTCTTCTTCACCTCTCTTTTCAGAATTGCTGGCTTGTTCTTGGCTTTGGCGTAGTGCAACGATAGTGCTGCTGTGTTCTGCCAGGGTCATATTGGTCTTCTCTAGCTCTGACTCGATCTGCCTTCTTCTGGCTACTTCTTCTTGGTTAGCTTGCCGCAAATTCTCCACCTGGCTCTCAAGTCCATCTCTTACAGCTTGGAGGTCCTTGATGCGTCCCTGTAAGCTTCTCATATTTTGCTCAACTCTGCTTCGCTCCCTGCTTTCTCTCTCCAGCTCCAATCGCAGTTTCTGAAGCTCCTCCTTGTACTCCCGCCCCTGGGTTACAGCCACTGATGAATTAGTTAGCTTCACTTGCAGCTGGGACAGAGTCTGTTCAAGCACACCCTGACCTTCTTCCGCAGTTTGTCTTCTGCGGGTCTCCTCCTCTAGACTGTGTGTGACATAAGCCAGTCGGTCACTCGTCTCCTGCAGGTCCTTCCTAACCTCAGCCAGCTCTGCTCTATACTGGCTACTTTGCTCGTCTCTCTGCCTCATCAACAGTTCCACCTGACTTTCCAATTCTCTTCTCTTGCGGCCTTCCTCGATGATTACAGCCCGCTGAGTGTGAGCTTCCTCATCTGCTGCCTTCCTTTGTTCCTCAACCTGGCTGATAGATATTCGGAGTCTCCGTAGCTCCTCCTCGAGATTCCTCCTCTCTGCCTCCATCCTGTCATACTGCAGCTGGAGCTCCACTGTATCCTCGTCCCTCTCAGCTGCCAGCCTTTGCATGTCTGCATGGCTGACGTGGATCTGAGATTCGTAGCTGAGCTTTAAGTTATTGATCTCCGTACTGTATTGGCTCCTTACCTTTGATATCTCCTTCTGCAGCTCCATGAACCTTGCTGTCTCGTCAGCAAGCTGTCGCCGGAGCTGTTCAATCTCAAGCTCTTTATTTGACAAAGTCTTCTCCACCTCCACCTTGGACCAACTGACTGTCTCCAGCTCGTTCTGCCTCTTTCTCAGCACTGCTTCATACTCTTCTTGCTGCTGAGTGTAGCGCTCTTCTGCTAGCTTCCTCTTCCTCTTTTCTTCATCCAGCAAGTAGTTGAGACGTTCCACCTGATCTCTGAGGCCTGCCAGCTGGCTCTGTGTGTTATCTAGGTTCTCCTTGGTGGCACTGCACTGCAACGATGCAGTTTGTTTCACCTCCTCCATTGACAGCAACTGTTCTTTTGACTGGTTCAGCTCCCGTTGGTACTGAGCAAGAGCATCTTCCAGTGATTTGTTCTTGGCGTTGCGGTCTCTCATATCGTCTCTCAGAAGGCGAAGTTCTTCTTCTAACAGGTCAATCCTTGTGTTACGAATCTGAAGGAAAGACAAAGAAAAGATGAATACAAATGTGTTTTTAAAAATGATAAATTAAACTTTCATTATTATTTTTTACCCACTTGTGTTGTGGTTAACAAGTATCCAGCATAACATTTGCTTAGCACAACCCTATTAACACCACATTCATATCGTGTTGCCATGAAGAAACATTCCATTCAGTTTGAGGCAAATCCAAAACCCCCAACCAGTTCTGACAGATACCTATGCCTTCCTGTTAAAAGGGAGTTTTTCCTTCCCACTGTCACCAAATGCTTGTTTATGGGGAGTGGGGGAGGGGGCGAGATGTTGTCATCTCATCGGATCGTTGGGTTTTTCTGTGTTATTGTAGAGTTTCATTTGCCATTATAATTAATTGAATTTAAAAAAACTATAGTTATCTCATGTCTCTTGCGTTTTCCACCAACTTTTCTGTATTTTAGGTCTTATTGAACAAAAAACTGCTTTTTTAAAAATCTTGATCATACTATAGAAGGTTATCCATATGAAACCACACACTTGGCTAACAGGTTATCAATCATAAGACGTGTGGTTGTGAGTTAGTGACAATGAAAAGACTCATCTTGAGACTACAAAACGGTTCTTAAATAACTAATAATCTGTCCATGGAGGTTGCTTGTACTTACAAAGTGAAATTAGTCACAAATGAGGTATGTGGTTTATCTCAACAAAACCTCCCTGTAATTGCTTTGTTCACTAACAGATTACTACAGTCATCCATAGCTACACTGTTATTATCTTAGTTTGCAACCATAACTTACTAACACTAAACTGCACCTTTAGCACAATGTCCAGCTGTGAAAGATATATTTTTCTCTAGATTGATACCATCTGATCTCAGAAGCTAAGTAGCATTGTGCCTGGTTAGTACTTGAATGGGAATACACATTTTTCCTTACCAAATGGTCTGCCTGGGAGTAGGCTACCAGTCTATAGTCCTATGTGAGAAAAAAATTTGCTTTCCATAGGATACTAATATCCAACATAGTGGATAGTAGGTTGCTTATTATGACTAGCTGCAACTTAGTCGCAACATATGTCCTTGGCATTGGTCATATCTAAGTGAACTTTACTCTCTTTATACTGAAACTCATGTATATAGCATCTGTAGTCTGTCAGTTCTTGGACAGTCAGTAACATCGCATTGCATGCAATGTGTGTCTTAATACTCTGTTAGCTGATGGATATTAATACACCGAGTTCATGAGCAAAAGACGCATGTAAATGGGAGCAACACAATGCTGACTGCAGGTGATGTTATTAACAACAATGGTTTGCTGGAAGGTATAAAGGAGTTCCTTTAACTTTAACGTTATATCAAAGATTAGGTGACAGATTTACCCCAAATTCTCATTCATAATCCCTGGGCAGTTTGATGACAAGATGTCATAAACAGAAAGAAAGAAAAAGAAGAAGAAAAAAGAAAGAAAACCATGATTACATCCAACAAGATATTTTTGGATGTTCAGCATTGGAGATCCGTACCTTGAGCTCCTCCATGTTTCTGAGCAAATCTCCTAGGAATCTGTAGTAGTCGTCAGAAAGGGTAAGCAACTCCATATATCGAGTCTGCAGTTGGGTAGCCTGGAACAGAGACAAATTTAATTTTAATAAAACATCAGAAAAATCAACTCTAACCTACAAGAAAAAACATGTCATGTACTAATGGTTTACTACATGTCTAATGTTTTTACTACAGTTGCATTACTTCATGATTGAGATCCACTGACGGCGACTTCAGCATTGTCCTCTTCACTGGGATGTTGAGCAAAGTTTCTAAACCAGAGGTGTAAGCTGCAAGGTCTGTTTCATAGTCCTGTTAAAAATAAAAATGAATAAATAAATAGAGGAAGTTGATCTTTTAATGAATCTGAGGCCAAATGCACTCGATTATTGACCTACTTACCTTGATAGCGTTCACACAGGCTTCATTGTCCTTCAGCACACTATCTACTGTCTCCCTCCTCACCTTGATTTCTGCATTCAGAGCCTAGAGAAACCCACAAAGTACAGATGTCAGGTATCTGATGCCTTCACAGAAAATTATTGGAAGTAGCTCTAATAATAGCAAAAGTTCAGCATATTACCTTCTGGTTGTTAATGAGGTCTTCCAGTGCTTGAACATTTTCTATTTTGGTGGCCTGTAGAGCCACCTGTTTTCTGCGAGTGGCTTCAATCCATTCAAGAATGGAAGTGCTGGTTTGCTTGTAGTGTTGCAGCTGAGGCAGATATGATCGAAGGTCCTGCATTCTGAGCAAGTGGAAGAGACGACCAGCATAAGTGAGTTATGTCACTTTTACTCAAACGCTGTCATGCCAAGTTTACAGATTAATATTGTTTTTTTATTACATTTAAAATACCGAAGCAACAAATGTTTTGTGCTTTGCTCGATCATTTTCTGCCAATCACAAATTGACATATGTGTATGTGAATAAGATGTTTTAAAAATAGATTCACATGTGTACAAGCAGCCTCATATACATATGGTTGAATATGGAATGAGTTATTTACTGCATGACTGTAAAGTCTTCAATTTCACATTAACAGTCAGTTATTATTAAAAACTGACAGAGCAGCATACCTCGTATCGAGCTGTAATTGGATTCGTCTCCAGCGGTCTGACAGCATGTTCACATCTTCTGTGTATTTTGTTAGCATCAGGTCACACCTGTGGGAGGATCCGCCCACCTGGCCGTTCCAGTGGCTCGCCTTGGACAACTCTGCCTCCATAGCATTTAGAATACCTTTCTTCTGATCCAGCTCTGCTTTGATGTTCTGCACATCGACACACGACACAACATCAATCATACGACTGCATCCACCGTATAATAAAAATCAGCCTGATAAGTGGAATTAAAGCATATGTCACAGCACAAAGGATATAAGAAAAATAGGGCAGTATTCACAAATGATTTGTCTGCTATTATCAAAGAGTAGGAAAACACCATTATCTTGCAAAAATACCTTCAGAGTTGACATATATTCCTCCACTTCCTCAGGAGACAGAGAAGTGGTCTCCTTTTCTGTCATTCTTGCTTCATAAACTTTCACAATGTCCTCGGCTCGTGCCACACTCTCCAGCATGTCCCTTAGAGCTCGTAGCCTAAAACAAGCATATGGAATAATCAAATATGCAAATATGCAAGGCATATGTGTGTTTGTCATAATGTAGATTATCTGTATGTAAAAGTATATTTTTTTGCAGATAATAATTGATCTTACAGTGCACAGTTATTAACTGTGCTTTTAAATTAATCAGAAGAACACACTAAGCTTTACGCCATCGTTTTGAGGTTTTGCCTTGTGTTATGTACCGCTGAACATAAGCTGATGAGCTGCTCTCCAGGCTGCCCAGTCTTTGGTTAATCACTCCAATCTCGCTGCGGAGGAACTGAGCTTTGTCTGAATCATTCACGCTTTCCAGCTCGTTTAGAATGCGCTCCTTCAAAAGTAAGTACTCAGCACGCATCGAGTCCACATCACGCTGCACAGTCTGAAAGATGCACATATATGTGTCGTGATAAATACAGGGTCGTTTTTGTTTTCATTCTACATGCATTTCTGTTATTCTTATATTTTATGCTTTCACCTCTAACTGAGAGATCTTGAGGCTACAGTCCTGCACGCCGTTGTCTCCGAAGCAGACATGGATGTGCTGATTCAGCATGTCTTCAGCGGCCTCCAGCCTCAATCTGAGCGAGTGCAGCTCTAATAAGCTGTGAGATGATGATGATGATGATGTGGATACCTTCCTCTTTCCTGCGTCCGTCTTGGTCACTTTTATCACTTCCTTCTTCACCACCTCTTTCTTTGCCTCCGCTTTCTTCTCGGCCTGTCTTCTGAGCTCTGCTCTCCGTCTTTCTTCTTCAAGCCTCCTGGCCTCCTCTTGGCGCATCCTGGCCTCTTCTTCAAGCCTCCAGGCCTCTTCTTGGCGCATCCTGGCCTCTTCTTCAAGCCTCCTTGCGTCTTCTGCAGCAGCAGCTTGTACTTGCTGCTGCTGTAATATAATCAGCTGGTGTTGTTGCCCAGATGTTTGCTGTAATTGTTCCTGCTGGACAACTGTGGACAAAACGATTTTTAAAAAATAGATAAAAGTCTTTTCAAAAGTTCCCTAGATTCACTTATTCAATTCAATTATTCCATTATGAAGCACACAGACTCAAATGCATACTGTATACTGTACTTTACTGTAATATACTGAAATACGTACTAAAAATATTGAATTTGAGCAATGTTTATATACAAATCTAAGAGACATCCGGCTAAAAAAACAAAAGCCAAGAAGTGCAAGAATAAACATATGGAGCTGAAAATGAGCGCAAGAGGTCCATCTGATATATGAGACTGAATAGAAATGTACAGAATAAACAGAACGTGTACTTGCGAGGTGATCATTACTACAAACACTTACTGTAAGTAGGTATCTGCACCACTAGCTGTTCATAGTGGGTCTGGGCATCATTGACCTGGTTCTCTATGCTCCTCTTGTCCTCATCAGCAAACATCTGGGAATTTACACTGTTCACTATAAACTCATCATAGTGAGTCTCCATGCTCTTGATCATTTTCCGGTACTCCTCTGGGCGCATCTTGGCCAACTGAACAGACACAGAAACATTAAGTTTAATTTGGACCCAAACAGATCTTTTCACCGAGAAGGAGAGGTCAGAGGTCAAATGTGACATGCTATTTTAAATCTTTGGTACCTTCTTTATGTTGACGATACTCACCACACTTGTAAGAAACATAGTTTCTAAGTTCTAAGGCTATGTTTATAAATTAATTTTCCACCAATAAATCATCAAGTGTTATAAGAATAACAGTGCAGTAAAATGATTGTGTGTGTTTTTTTAACACAAAGTACAAACTGGAGCAGTGAAAAGTTGCAAAAGGGACTTTGGTTTGAAGCAGCGGGTTTCGAGAGATGCTTAAATGTCTGTTTGAATGCCACAGAGTTATGCAGCACTCCAAAGTGTGCAACTATGGGAGCTGTTTCCCAGCATCTGGAGGTGGCTCAGAATGAGAGACGTTTACACACTTTTTAAGCCCATATTAAATGGAAGACTACAGCTGTTGGCTTAGAACAAACTGTAAAAGCAAAAACCCACCTTTAAAACCAAATAATTAAACGTTAATTAACACCATGTCACAACTTTTATTATGACCATTTGTTTTCTCCTTTGATACCTTGCAAGAGAGCAAAAGTTTGACTTTGACGTATGACTAAATATTTTTTTTACAGACAGCAGAGGCCGACTTCCAACACCTCGTCGGTCCTTACCATGGAGATGGTGAGGGAGTTGATGCGTTGGATATCCATGACGCAGTACTGCCAGGAGATGAGACTCTTGACGTTGATATAAAGCTGGCTCCAGATTGACAGGATTGCTTCGTAGTACTGCTCGTTTCTTTGCACGACACAGAGGTGAAATTTAAAGGTTTCAGGATTATCTTTCCAGCCAGAGCAAGAGTTATACAATCACCTTTAACAGTAAATGTCCAAATCAAAGCATTTTTTGTTTCTTACTTGTTGGCGAGACTGATGCTGATTGGATTAGGTGGCGGTACAATCAGGCACACAGAGGGCACCAACATATCCAGACCCCCCGGGCCAGTCACCAGCCACTTACTGCGCTGGTTGTTGTCCTTTAGGATAGCCTCATTGCCCTTAAGGATCACCTTCTGTGAGCCCAAAGGTCACATAAAACACATAAAACACATGAAACACAAGTTAGAATAAAAGAAAGAGAGAATGTCGGTGCAACGTAAAGTAAAAAATAAAAATACCAATATGTGTTTAACTTTGACATCTGAAAACTGACCTTGTCCTGCTTGAAGTCGCACAGAGCCTTGACAATGACGCCGCTGGTGTTCTTCTCTTCAGGGTTTCTGGGTTTCAGTCTCACGATCTCCTTGGACTTGCTGACCAGGTGTTTAACCTGCCTCCTATTTTCCACAATCTTCTCCTTTTCCCTCTGAAGACAAAAAAGGTTTCAGTCAACCTGCCACTGTTTAGCCATTAACAACTGCTTTACTTTTCTAATTCGCCAACATTTTTGTCTCTCTGTAAATAATGAAGTCGCACAGAATGGCCTGTCCTGTATGAAACATATGACCTGCAATCCAGAACTGGTTTGGTTTTTTTTGAGAGTTCTGTTTCCATTTTTGTAACTAATGCCATAACTACTAGGCATGCAGTCTGCCTTTACAGTACAAATAATGTTTCTTTTAAAAGAATGGGCTGAATTTGAGCATGTCTGTAACAAGATGCCAACAACCAAAATAGTACTTTCTATTGTTTGGCAAAAGTTTGAGGGCTAAGATGCATGTTTCTCCTGGACTGTAAAAACTGGGGTTCTGGTCCAGAATGAGTAAAAGAAACATTTGGTCATTCGAAGGTATTATCCAATGGTATTGGAGTTGCTTCACTATTAGGTGGTACACTCAAAACTAATTTGTCCAAAATCCTGCCCATTTTTTAATTATGTGTAAATGTTCCATGTGATTTTATAACATAAGTACAATAAGTAAAACGTTAAATTCAAAGAAAACTTTTTTTACATTCAGTTTATTCCGAGCAACCTCTCCTGATGAATTATGGAGATGCTGGTAATGGTGTTGTGGTTCTTTTTTGGGGGTTTTGTTTTGGTTTGTTTGTTTTTCCATAACTCGTGTATCTGCAAATATACACATTCTGTATTTTTCATATGTAAGAAACTATACTGTGGTGGGGCTTGCTAATTTCTTGTTTTTGATTTATGTATGTTTTGTTTTGTTTTGTTTTACTTCATATGTTTCATATGTTGTTTGTTATTTAAGACAAAAAAAAATTAAATGAATGAGAGGTAAAACTTGAGGGGGTAGGGACAAATAAGTAAATACTTCAGCCTACTCCTTTTCAAACAAATAATGGAATGATATTTTGTAATGATTGTGAATGTTTGAAATGTTTGAAATAAAAATGAACTGAACTGAATTATCTGGCTAAATAATCCACTGACTTTATATATTTCAGGATTTGTGTTGTTGTTTACTGTAGTGCCTGAGACATGAAATTTTCAAAAGCTCATCCTACATCAAAGATCTACTGTATGTTCAGTCTAATCAGTTTTATCTCGCTATGCTAAACGTCTAAACACACGCGATCAAGCTCCTGATGCCCAGCTGATGAGTTACTGCTGTAATGACGCTGTCGTACCTCCAGGTTTCTGAGGAGCTCCTGCAGGGTCTCCAGAGAAGTGTTCTTGTCGCAGATGAAATTCTTACGAACCGTCTCGTGTTCCTTCTGCAGAGCACTGTACGTCTCGTTGGCCTCCTTGAAAAACTAAATGCACACGTGTGTAAGCATATGTGATGTGAGTTTCAGGAGAAAACACGCACAATTTGTGAAATACTGAGTGAAATCTAGCATGAAGTTAATTGTAGTTTCCCAGTCTCATTATGATAAGTAAACAAGCAATTTTTATGTGTACATAACAACTGAAAAGCTGAAAGCGAATCAAAATGCTAATGTAGCAACAAGAAATCAGAGGTGTCATGGTGCATCTTTTACATGCACTCTTATTCACAGTGTCCGTCAGTGTGACTGACTCCTGCAGGTTCATGTTTATTAGAGTAGCTTTAAGTTACCTGGCTGTACGCTAAATTCTCCTTCAGGTGAGTGTCGATGCATTTTGTTATTTGAAGGAGCCAGCTCCACTGAGTCTGCAGGGTGTCACTATAAGCCTGAAGAGAATGCACAAGCACACAAACACTGGAAAAAAAGCCAAGCTTTTACTTGCAGGTTTATAACTAGTTGTTTTTGGACTGAGATTTCTACTTCTGATCGCTCCAGACCTCGATCTTGTCCGATGCAGGGTGGTCATTCTTCAGGAGGTTGTCCACTTTGGCCTTCAGCCTATTCAGATCCTTTTCTTTTACTTCCAGGGCACTCATCAGTTTCTGTTATATAAGAAGAGGTGGATAATCACAGGGACACAGGAAAAACATCAGGATGCAGCAAGAGGGAAGTTCTGTGGCTTCGCTGTAAGTGGATGACTAATCGCAGCTGCCAAAATCCAATCTACCACAGATGATTGCTCCCTTATGAGATGCAGATTACTACATAAAAGACATCAGCGCCATTTAGGCTCAAGGAATTGCCAAGAATGTTTATTGCCTAAAATGAAGCTCGTAAAATTGGAAATTAAAAAGTGGATTTTTTGCAGCATCTACTGAATCCAGCTCTATATTTGTTCCCTTGTGATCCGATGTTTGACTAACCGAGTAGCTCTCCTGCTTTCTGGGGATATACTGGTCGATGTTCTTGTCTCCCCAGTCAAACATCAGTTCCTCTTCCTCCTTCTCATTCACCCACATGATCTCTTTGGATATTTCCTGAATGATCTGCTGGAACTCTCGCAGCCGCTGGGTCCGATCATGGGACTTTTTCTAGCAGGGTTAAACAGGGTTAAAGTGAATCAATTTAATACAAATCTCTAGCGATTAACAGGGAAATACACTACACAGAGATAATATTTAGTTTCTTCACCTGGAGATTGTCCCATTCCTGATCCAGAGCCTTAAGATTGGCTTTGTCTCCTGTCTTCATCTGGGGGAAGAGAATGAGTCAAATTATGTGTTTCAAAATAAAGTGATGTGTCAATATTTGCAAATGCTAATAATCAAAACAGATACTAATAATAACAAATCGCTATCTGACCAATAGCGGATCATTTTTATTTGTTTAGGTTATTTATCTCTTTACCCTGTGATCTTCTTTAACACTGGTTTAGTTTTGTGACTTTAAATATCCCAAACAATAGATCAACGGCGCTTCTGTTTGAAGCAACAGTGAATCTCAGCATCGTCTCATCATCACAGCATTGATACTGAACCTGCTGACTGAACCCACCAGGTCATCTCTGGCTCGATCGAACTCGACGCTCCTCTGGATGGAGCTGTGAAACCTCTGGTGGCTCATGAGCTGCTGCTCGATGGCTGCAGGATCGTCTCCCCATGAAGCTGTTTCAATCAGACGCTGCACGGAGTAGATCGAGTTTTAGAGAAGACTTCAGACACAGGCACTTCATGTCACCAGCAGGTGGCGGCAGAGATACAAGTTAAACCAGCAATTTGCTGGTAAATTCATGCACCACTTGGGGTCAAAGATCAGCAATCCACTCAGAAAGAAATGATTTAGCACTGAGTGTAAAACAATAGCTCCTTTTAGCTTCTATTTGTACTTAACCACAATGAGCACATGATCCCTTAATACTGTGTCTACACCAACATAGCAGAGCATTCTTCTCTATGCTCTGTGTTAAATGCTGTGAATGTTGTGTTATCATAGCGATCATGGTTCAGCGAGATCTGTCATTTGGTTTACCGACACCTTTTATTACACTGTCATAAAGTGAAACGGCACTTAACCATCTAGTTAGTGGGCATTAATGTCACTTTTGTTGTTGAAGAAGTAGGTCTTTCTTTCACTTTAGGTTTATTTCACAAAGATTTCTTTTGTGTAAAGGCTCTGTTTCGCCAGTTAAACATAAAAAATACTTTTTCTTGAACTGTTTAACAATTTTAATTATTTTAATGTAGTTGTTCACATTTTTAGTGTGTTTAAAGAACTATAATATATTAAATATACTGTGGAGCATTTTAACTTCTGTTGTGTTTAAATGTGCTACGATATGAAATGAGCTGATTATCTGTTGTGTGTAACAAACGTCTCTGACTTACTAATGTGACAAATTACATCAACTTCTCTTAATCTGAAAAAATGAAGGCTGGTGTTAACCGAAATCAGGTGATCAAAATGCAACAATTTTAGGGTATTTAAGACTGAAATAAATGCGCAAAAAACCCTGTCAAAAATGTAAAAGAAAAAAAAGAAAAAAACAAGCCTCCAACAAATCTTTTGAAATGTAAATGTTGCCTAAATTTCACCGAATATTGATTTTTAGTAGATTTCTTAGCTAATAAGTATATTCTTCTCGACTCCCCCAAGTTCGGGTGCTTGACCACCATCTACTGCAGGTAATGCACAGTTTAATGCACACTGTAGTAATGCCCCTCAAGCTTTACCAAGACACCTTAACCCAGGATTCCTTAAAGGGCTCATGAATGTCAGAAGACTGATCTTCAAAAGCAGCTGCAGGTGCACGTTAGGTATTAAGTTGGGTGTGTCTATACACGCCTTTTGCTGTGCAATCCAGCCCATAGCATCATGATAGCTCCTTCCGGGTTCCTCCCAGCCAACGGAGCCCCCCTTGGTGCTCTTCCTTCTCTGCGTGGTGCCTGAGATGGCCATGTGGACCCCCTTCAGCTGGCTATTGTACATCTCCACACTATGGATTAGAAAACAGAAAAAGATGAGACTTGGAATGAACAGCATATGCTATACAAAGAATATATTTTTATAAAAATTCATGAAATCTCTGTTTGTCCATCCATCTGTCCGGTCAACAAACATTCATCCCATCTGCTTTAAAAATGGGAGATTAATTACTGACTGCCTGAGGAAATTTGGACTAAGTTTAAAGCTTGAGATACATTCACTATCCTTTTGAACAGCAACTGAATTACTTAATTACCTGCATGTGACGCATTCAAGAGACAGTTACATTTCAGCGTCAAAATCATGGGTAACACTGACCTCGGATGGGCACTGTTCTAGTAAAAGAAAACTGAGATGATTAAGACAGAGAGAGAAATCTGGCCTTCCTTACCTTCTCATTACGTTCTCATTAGGCTGTCCCATCTGCCTCAGGTCGGCCCCGCAGCTCTTCAGATTTTGAATGGCCTCTTTGGCCATCCCCATGAAGTACTCGGCCTCACTCGGGTTTCCACCCTGCAATACACAGACACAAGGAGGTGTACAAATCCAGAAAACTGAATGGGCACATTTGGAGTATAGATGTCTTTTGTCCTTGTTGTGCTTTAGATTGAATTATTTCCATTTAGAAGTGCCAAAAAATGTCAAAACTTCAGAAAAACAACTTTTACAACCCACGGAAGAAGATGATTTATGACAAGGACAAAGCGGTTGTGATAGTCTGCCGATATAAGTAGTCAACAAGACAATAAATCACACGCCCACAAATTTTAAGGTGAGTTTTGCACTTGCGATGAACTTCACAGTAACATAAATAATTCATGATAGGTTGCTTAACAGCTAAACTAAGGAAGGGTGTAAATTTAAAGTGGACTGACAGTTGCAATACTGCTCAAGGGGCCAGTTCTAAAAATCACATCCAACAGGGAGTTAAACAAAAATGAAACATTATCTATCTGGTGTCTCTCACAGATTCTGACCGTACACCAAAAGCCTACACATCCAGCTACTCCAATTACAGCCGCACAACGTTTCTGTCATTCTTTCTGTTTCTTTTTGCCTCAGAGGACAGGCTACAACACTACACTCTTCATGTGAAATAAAAACCCTCCTGACTGGGCTAACTGACTTTTATATGCACTTCTAGCAGTAAAAGCACAATAAGTAACACAAATAAGAAAAGAAAACACAACTCACAGCTTGAATGTAGTACTCGGCTTTCTGCAGGTACTCGTTGCACTGGCTCTGCAGGATAGCGGCCTTCTGGTTGATAGAAGTAAGTGTAGAGCCACTGTGGAGGGCAGCGAAGTAAACTCATTAACATTAAGATCTTCAGCTTTAACTATTACCAAAATATTCCCAGTTACCGCAGCGGTTCCCAGTTTTTTTCACCGTGTGTTCCCCTAAAACAAAGCAGTGTCTCCTTTTGCATATATCATCATAATCCACAAACTGAAAAGATATGGTCATGGTTATGGCTAGATTTTTCAAATACATTAGCTAAAAAAATACACTGCAACGGATTACATCAGTACAGGCTCAACAGCTGGTATGTATAGTCAACATTCATACACAATGTGCCAAAGAAACTCTTTTCACTGCTATTATAAACATTACAATTTTCTTTTAATATTGTTTTAGGTTTAATTTGATAGGAAAGCACTGCAGGCACGCAGGAAAGTGAGGGGAAAAGTCTGGAGCAGACTTGAACACAGATCTTTAGTGGGGCCTTTGGTATATGGGCTCAAACACACGAGCTGTGGCAGCAGCCACAAATCTAAAAATTTAGAAAAATAAGTGTTGTTATGATAGAGATCTCTCTGTTTCCTAGAAACAAGGAGATATAGAGACAGAAAAAAGCTATCACCCCAGATAATCTCGTTTCTCCCCGGGGAGGTTTGCTCCTGTGCAGAGCAGAAGCTGAGGAACAATTGAAAAGACGTGCCAAAGACAACAGCTGTATGTCAGCATCACGACGTGTATCACTGCGCATTATCAGTGCGTATGATCAGTTATGTCACTGACGTGACTCTGCAAACCAATCTGAGTTAAACATCACTTTATTTTGTTTTATACACAATTACCACCAGCTTTACTTCAGTGTTACAAAACAAGTGGAAATGCTGTTACTTTGCAGAACAAGAACATTTCCCTGTAATTATACTCTTGCGGGCTGATGTGCATTGAATTGCTTTGTTCGCTTTTTTAAAGGCCAGTGAGTATCGGGTGTTTTTAGTGTTTGCAGGGCCCAAAAAAACAACACAGGCTGTCACGGTTAATAATCTATCGTGCGCTGCAGTTCACACATTGGCCACAGGTGCAAAAAGAAACGCAAAACTTGTGGAAGATAGAGTTTAAATTCATACCCCATTCCGCTGATCGCGCCCCCGCCGGCGCCGCTCATCGCCCCCCCTCCCATGCTGGCCCCACGCCACGTCATTCCTCTCGTGGTTCCGGCTCTCATGCTGCTCGCCATTCCGCTAGCCATCCCACCTCCCTTCACGGACTTTGAATAGGTGAAGGTTTTGCGTCCGTCGTGTCCGTACTGGTCGTATCCGTTACCCCCTCCGTGGAAGCCGTCGCTCCGTGCGTACTGGTAGGTGGATTCTCCAGTCAACTCTCCCCTGGAGTTGGCCCTGCGGAGCATGTTCAGGGCCTGCTGAGACCCGTACGCTGACATGGTGACCAGAGAACTGCAGCCTCGGCGGCTCCACAGAAGTTACTGGACGAAACTAAGTGGACGGAAACAACCTGACAGGTTGCCGCCCTCTCTCTCTCTCCACTCTGTCCGCCCTGGTCCCTCCGGTGCAGACTGCAAACCGAGAGCAGGACGGGACCGTTTTTGGAGCCTTGTGACCACACCTCTCTGTCTGTCAGCCAAAAACTTTTTTCTTTCTCTATCTCTCTTTCTGCCACTCCCCTGTCTACTCAGCTGGAGACAGTGTGTGTGTGTGTGTGTGTGTGTGTGTGTGTGTGTGTGTGTGTGTGTGTGTGTGTGTGTGTGTGTGTGTGTGAGACCCTAAGGTCCACAGGTTTGAACACCTCGCAAATGCAGGACGTTTTGAAACATTATGACATTTTTATTTTTGCTTCAATAAAGACAGCTCGTTTTTGGAAAGCATGGCTATGTTATGGAAATCAGAGTCTGAGAGGAGCAGAGACAGTTTTAAAAGCACAGTAAGAAAGCGGATCAGAAGATAGCATTTGAACAGAAGGCGATCAGCATTTGGAAAGTGATGCAGTTCTTTCTTTTTTAAAATAACGATGTTTCTGAAAAGTCAGGTTATGTGTGTGCTTTAGTAAAGTGGGGTTATTTTTAAAGTGACTGATTATGAGAGCGAGTTAGAGATCATCCCAAATTGGAAACTTGAAACTTACAACTTGTTAGTTAGTGTCAAGTTGATGGATTACTCATGGTGGCAGTTCTAGTTAAGGAATGAAGTCGATTGCATCCTCACAATTATAAAGCAGAAGAAGGAAATGCTTGTATTTGCCAGGATAGCTCAAATGTACACACTAATTATTTGGAAAACAAAAAAGTATTGTATATACAATATGCTCAACATACATGATTCAGTAAAATGACTAGATTATATACTAATGCGATCAGTGCTTAGATTTTTATTTTTTTAAGTATGGTTTTCCCTTGACAGATGTGCCTAGGATATAAAAACAACTGCTTTTAGTTACATTCCTAGTTTAACAACATCTGTAGTATTAAGCAGAAACTAGTAAAGTAATGGCTGTAATAATCAAAGGCCTTAAAGACAAACTGCTTAAAGTACAGATAATACATCCAGTACACCAGGTGATGCATCTTTTGAAATTTAAATTAAAACAGCTGCCGAGGTATCGCTCACTCCTCTTCTCCACAGGTGTCTTTAAGTCTTTCCATGCCCCTCCCATCTGCTTTCAGTCTGCGTCCTCAACTGAGAAGAAACTCTCTCTTTCTCACACACACTTTAACATTGCTCACACAACTGCCTGCAGGCAATGGGTGGGACTCACTGGAAAAACAGGTTTAGCAGCCACTCAGTAACGACAGTAACACTAAATTTTATTATCAGTGTTTGGGATGTCCATAATCACAGTCGGACCACCTTCCAATTAATGTACTTCTTTTCCCAACAAGTCACTTATTTGCTGTTATTGGTAATATACTAATATTTTATTTTTCAAGCGATACCCACATTTCCCCATTTTAAAGATGCATTCACAGTGAATTACAGGTCACTTTGAGTCCCAGTCTATCTGCACAATCGCCAGTGCTCCACAAAGCGGCTTACTTTGGTTTTGTAAGTTTCTTTTCTTTCAAAATGACTCACCAGCTCAGCTTAAGCCTTTTGAACTCTTTGCTGTGGAGTTTCAGCAGAGATACAAATTGCTCTCATTGCTCACGTTTTTTTCTTCTTCACTAATGTACAGTCTTTGTTCAAAAGTAGGCGGTGTGACCTGCCTTGGCTTTAAATGTGTTAGCAAAGTGGAAAATTGTGAATAACTGCAAAGAAATTTCTTAAATCATAGACTTTAATTTATAAACTAATCAAGAGTGTTAAAGCATTCCTCTCCCTTTTTTTTAATAGAATAAACACTATAATATGTTTTTGTAGCTCTGCAGATGCCTATTTTGTTTTTTGAGACTTTTTGCATATATTTCTTAGTTTATAAACTTATCTAATTTTTACATAGAATTTGTGTAAAGTTACTGTATGTTTTAATGCAATCAAGTGTAGCACGCCTGATTTAATTGCTTTCTGTGTAATCTAATAGCAGCAAAGGCTTTCTATTCTATTGTCTATTCATCTGGCTAAACTGCTTTACTTTAAATTCATTATTTTGGAAATTGTATTTAATAATTTTGTACCTGACACATGAAGCAGGCTTAACAACTGTCCTGGGTCACCACAGGTTTTGTGTTACCTTGAAACATTTAAAATTTCTGTTTAAAGATGTTTTACATACTGAATGCTCTTGTTTTTCTTAATGCCTTTGCATTGCTTTTGTGCTAATGTAACGACACAGTGTCACTTTATAGACTTCATATATATATGTGTGTGTTTCTGTAATCTAGTCACAAGACACTAAAATAAAAGTGCTCTTTCCTCAGATTCAGTTTCCCCTGATTAAATTAAGGTTGTCCAGATCACAGTCGTTTAAAGGGAGGCCTAGCCAGCAGCACAAATCTTATGCATTAAGGAAAATTTTGTATGAGAAAGAAATGATGAGCAAAAAACTCTCTTCAAAACCAGAAATACCAACAATGAAGAGAGAGCCACTTAGTGGGTTTGCGGTTTTTGAGCCACAACAATCATGTTTCAGAAATATGTCTTTGTGCATAAGGAGCTCACTTATAGGAAAGAACATCCTAATGACTTTGACCTAAGGCTGTCTGCAAGCATAAATACTGGTGATATGGACCGGCACCCTACAGCCTGAGGAGAGTCTCCCTACACTAACTTATAAACTCAGCAACCTTTGCGGAATGTAGCATGTATGTGTTTGGAAATGAGTGGGATTGTGAGTTATGTACGAGCAAACAGGAGGGAAAGTGCAAGCGATTGCGAACAGTAGTGTTTGTTTGCTGGTATGATTTATTACAAAGACTTGTTTTCCATTAGCTCAAGTCTAATTGCAGACTTGGTGCTGATGATAGAGTGGAAAAGAATTTTTGGGAACCAATGACACACCAGGATGGTCTTACAACTCCCAGGGCTTATGTGTGCTTGCCTTTCTGTGGGTGACTCAAAGGTAATAAACTGGTCTAACATTTTCTCCGGGAAAAAAAAGAAAGAAGTCCCACCTTAACTTTGTTATTCCCTTTGGCGAATGACATTCAAGAGCACGCCTTTGCCTGCACATAAACACAGATTTGCCAAAACGACATTCCTGCACTACCCTTCCCCTATCTTTAACGCTAACCCTTTTCAGCCCTGAAAGCTCATTTGTCACTTATTTAGTGTGAATTAACTTTATTTGTGCAGGTCTAATTCACAAGAACAGTAATCTATCAATAATATAATCTAAAACTAGATTTTCTTTAATAATGGATTGATATAGCGCTTTTCAAGGCACCCAAAGCGCTTTACAATGCCACTATTCATTCACTCTCACATTCACACACTGGTGGAGGCAGCTACGGTTGTAGCCACAGCTGCCCTGGGGCAGGGTGACAGAAGCGAGGCTGCCATATCGCGCCATCGGCCCCTCTTGCCCACACCAGTAGGTGGCAGGGTAAAGTGTCTTGCCCAAGGACACAAGGACCAGGGCAGAGAGCCCGGGGATCGAACCGGTGACCTTCCGGTTACAGATACACTTCCCAACCCCCTGAGCCACGGTCGCCCAACAATAGCGGCAATATTAAAAAAAAGGAACACCATCTACAGAACCAGGCTCAGGAAACACTGTCATCAGCCTCACCTCTGTGGTTGAGGATAAAGGAAAAGAGAGAAAAGAAGTCCTGACTGATAATGATAAATCATAGAACCCCAGGTGTGCGTGACCATCGTAATTTTCTTAAAAAAGAAAGGCATGTAAGATTCTGTAAGTCAGCCACTAAATTCTCCACATTTGTTTTGTGTGAGCGTTTGATCCTTTTTTGTCCTCTGGGTGAATCAGTGAAATCATTTTAGGGCATGTTTCTGAGGTGTGGTGAGAATTTCCACCTTCTCCTATCTCCTTTCATTCCATATTTCTGGAGACAGGACAAGGCTTGCATATAAAGTTTCTACGGTAGCCAAAATATGTAGAAGCATGTTAAAAAAGGTGTAATCCTAGAAAATGAGTCAGTACAGCTCAAACATTAAAAAAAGAATAAAGATGCTTAGATCTGAATAAGTTCAAAGAGCAGACACTTCGTTTTCAGTAATTAGTCTGACCTGAGAAACTTATTCATGTTGTCATTTTTAAAACCATAACAACTCCACTGATCTTTATTCTCCTGGTGGGACCTCATCTAGTTCAGAACATTCAAGCTGAAAAGAATCCCAACTCTCACTTCATAAACTTCATATTTCAACCTTCCAATTTCTCAGAGTTTCCTATCTGTCCCTTTCACTGTCAGTGTTGCTCCTTCCCTGCATTGCTGCTCTTTTAACCTCTCCACAACCCAACATTCACCTTTAGGTCCTGGGGCAATGCAACATGTATTTTCCACAGTATGATGAGCCTAAATATCAGCTGTATTTTGCTGCTGAATTCCATTATTTAAAATGTTGGTTGTTTGTTTTTTAACTGAAACATTGAAATATTTGAGATATTTACGGCATGGTTAATTTTACAGAAAACAATCTCTGGTAAACATCAAGGGCCACAAATGCCAAAGTTAGAAATTTGAAAGTGAGTAAGGGGGGCCATCTAACAGGAAAGGAGACAGATGCTCTTCTATGTTTCCATTCATCCTTATGTAAGTGATGAGTCTGCTTTGAGTTTAAGGGTTGGGCACACGTGTTTAAACTCAAAGCAGCTGCCTATTGCATAAAATTATCAAATAAAATAAGGGCTGGGCAGCCCAACCCTTATTATTTTTTTAATATAATTTTATAGAATTTAATTTCAGTGGAAATTGGTGGATTTGTTTGTGGAAGACAGGTAAAGCCTCACATTTTCTGTGTGCATGCTGAGCTATTAAATATGCATTTGCAGTGCACCAACAGCAAACTTGTTTTCTTTTGGAAGCAGGTCGTCTACCAGTGTTGATGATTCTAATACATAAATACTTTCTGCGTCTTGAGTGAATTAACTAACAGAGTTTATCCACTTTTAGTAACAATCAGTTAAAAGAAATTCTGACAAGTCCTGAGACCAAATCTCCAGAGCTTG